ATAGATTCCAGGCCCTGGCTGCCGTTATGGGCCCACTTCCACAACGCCGAAAATTGGATCGAGTCGATACCCCCGTCGTCCGATTCGATCCAAAAATCTGGGCAAAAGTTGAAACATAAACGAGAAAAAGCAGGAGCCGGCGCCTCAGATAGATCCCAGGCTCTGACTGCCGTTATGGGCCCACTTCCACAACGCCGGAAATTGGACCGAATCGATACCCCCGCCGTCCGATTCGATCCGAAAATCTGGGCAAAAGTTGAAGCAGAAACGAGAAAAAGCAGGAGCCCGCGCGTCAGATAGATCCCAGGCTCTGGCTGCCCTTATGGGCCCACTTCCGCAACGCCGGAAATTGGATCGAATCGATACCCCCGGCGTCCGATTCGCTCCAAAAATCTGGGCAAAAGTTGAAACATAAGCGCGAAAAAGCAGGAGCCGGCTCTGCAGACAGATTCCAGGCTCTGACTGCCGTTATGGGCCCACTTCGTTCCACAACGCCGGAAATTGGATCGAATCGATACCCCCGGCGTCCGATTCAGTCCATTCACCAACGCGAAAAAGCAGGAGCCGGCGCTTCGGATAGATTCCAGGCTCTGGCTGCCCTTATGGGCCCACTTTCACAACGCCGAGAATTGGATCGAATCGATACCCCCCTTCGTCCGATTCGATCCGAGAATCTGGGCAAAAGTTGAAACAGAAACGCGAAAAAGCAGGGGCCGGCGCTGCAGATAGCACCCAGGCTCTGACTGCCGTCATGGGCCCACTTCCACAACGCCGCGAATTGGATCGAATCGATACCCCCGCCGTCCGATTCGATCCAAAAATCTGGGCAAAAGTTGAAACATAAACAAGAAAAAGCAGGCGCCGGCGCTTCAGATAGATTCCAGGCTCTGACTGCCGTTATGGGCCCACTTCCACAACCAACGCCGGAAATTGGATCGAATCGATACCCCCGCCGTCCGATTCGATCCGAAAATATGGGCAAAAGTTAAAACAGAAACGAGAAAAAGCAGGAGCCCGCGCGTCAGATAGATTCCGGGCTCTGGCTGCCCTTATGGGCCAATTTCCGCAACGCCGGAAATTGGATCGAATCGGAATCGATACCCCCGGCATCCGATTCGCTCCAAAAATCTGGGCAAAAGTTGAAAGAGAAACGCGAAAAAGCAGGCGCCGGCGCTGCAGATAGATTCCAGGCAATGACTGCCGTTATGGGCCCACTTCCACAACGCCGAAAATTGGATCGAGTCGATACCCCCGTCGTCCGATTCGATCCAAAAATCTGGGCAAAAGTTGAAACAGAAACGCGAAAAAGCAGGAGCCGGCGCTGCAGATAGATTCCAGGCTCTGACTGCCGTTATGGGCCCACTTCCACAACGCCGGAAATTGGATCGAATCGATACCCCCGTCGTCCGATTCGATCCGAAAATCTGGGCAAAAGTTGAAACAGAAACGAGAAAAAGCAGGAGCCCGCGCTTCAGATAGATTCCAGGCTCTGGCTGCCCTTATGGGCCCACTTCCGCAACGCCGGAAATTGGATCGAATCGATACCCCCGGCGTCCGATTCGATCCAAAAATCTGGGCAAAAGTTGAAACAGAAACGAGAAAAAGCAGGAGCCCGCGCCTCAGATAGATCCCAGGCTCTGACTGCCCTTATGGGCCCACTTCCGCAACGCCGGAAATTGGATCGAATCGATACCCCCGGCGTCCGATTCGATCCAAAAATCTGGGCAAAAGTTGAAACAGAAACGCGAAAAAGCAGGAGCCGGCGCTGCAGACAGATTTCAGGCACTGACTGCCGTTATGGGCCCACTTTCACAACGCCGGAAATTGGATCGAATCAATAGAATACCCCCGTCGTCCGATTCGGTGCAGAAACCTGGGCAAAAGTTGAAACAGAAACGAGAAAAAGCAGGAGCCGGCGCCCCAGATAGATTCCAGGCTCTGACTGCCGTTATGGGCCCACTTCCACAACGCCGGAAATTGGACCGAATCGAGACCCCCGGCGTCCGATTCGATCCAAAAAGCTTGGCAAAAGTGGAAACAGAAACGAGAAAAAGCTGGAGCCCGCGCGTCAGATAGATTCCAGGCTCTGGCTGCCGTTATGGGCCCACTTCGTTCGTTCCACCGCGCCGAAAATTGGATCGAATCGAAACCCCCGCCGTCCGATTCGATCCAAAAAGCTGGGCAAAAGTGGAAACAGAAACGAGAAAAAGCAGGAGCCCGCACTTGCGATTGATTCCAGGTTCTGGCTGCCCTTATGGGCCCACTTCCGCAACGCCGCAAATTGGATCGAGTCGATACCCCCGTCGTCCGATTCGATCCAAAAATAAAATCTGGGCAAAAGTTGAAACAGAAACGAGAAAAAGCAGGCGCCGGCGCTTCAGATAGATTCCAGGCTCTGACTGCCGTTTTGGGCCCACTTCCACAACGCCGGGAGTTGAAGCGAATCGCTACCCCCGTCGTCCGATTCGATCAAAAAACCTGGGCAAAAGTTGAAACAGAAATGAGAAAAAGCAGGAGCCGGCGCGTCAGATAGATTCCAGGCGCTTGCTGCCGTTATGGGCCCACTTCCACAACCCCGAAAATTGGACCGAGCCGATACCCCCGTAGTCCGATTCGATCCAAAAACCTGGGCAAAAGGTGAAACAGAAACGAGAACAAGCCGGATCCCGTGGCTTCAGATAGATTCCAGGCGCTGGCTTCCGTTATGGGGCCACTTCCACAACGCCGAGAAGTGAATCGCGTCGATACCTCCGTCGTCCGATTCGATCCAAGAACCTGAGCAAAATTTGAAACAGAAACGGGAAAAAGCAGGAGCCCGCGCGTCAGATAGATGCCAGGCGCGGGCCCCCGTTATGAGGCCACTTCCACAACGCCGAAAATTTGATCGAATCGATACCCCCGGCGTCCGATTCGATCCAGAAATCTGAGCAAAGGCGCAAACTACAACAACGAGAAAAAGCAGGAGCCCGCGCGTCAGATAGGTGCCAGGCTCTGCCTCCCGTTATGGGGCCACTTGCTTCCAAAGCGCCGCAAATTGAATCGAATCGATGCCCCCGCCGCCCGCTTCGATCTAAAGAAAAAACCTGGGCAAAAGCTGAAACAGCAACAAGAAAAAGCAGGAGCCCGCGCCTCAGATAGCTTCCAGGCTCTGACTCTCGTTATGGGAAGCACTTCCACAACGCCGGAAATTGGATCGAGTCGATTCCCTCGGCATCGCATCCGATTCGATCGGCCGCCCCGGGCTCGCTTTCTAGTGTCTGGAAAAGGGGGCCCGACGCGTTGCGAGATTCTCCCGCGCTGCACCATGGAGGTGCTGCGTGATAGTTCTGAGGCGGGGCGTCCATTTGTAGGCGTGTGAGTGTACTAGTGCAATACTCCGGGCGTGGCTCTGGCTTCGACTTTGGATTTTGTTTGATGTTACTTGTGGACATAGACTAAGACGCTTGGCCTGCTCGCGCCTCGTCGGTCCTACAACCAGAAGTAGAAGATGGACCATGCTACCAAACAACAGGAGCGAAAGAAGTTGCTTTTTTGTACATAGTAAGTAGTCTAGTTGTCGACCCTCCACAACCCTTGCTATTTCCGAGTGTCGTGCCTAAACCGTAGCAAGATAGATCCTTGCGTCCAAGATAAAGAAAGAGAGAGAGAGAGAGAGAGATGAGTGCGAAAGTGAATTGCTGAAGTTAAGAAGAAATTGAGGAAGAAGGGAGCATACTTTTACTGTCTAGTTCATCACCAATCATCTGCGCTCTGTCAGGGCTTGAGTATGATAGGTGGATCGTAGAAGAAGTTGCTACGATCCCTAGTATTTCTTGGCTTGATTCTAATCCTAGTCTTTTTTTTATCGACCGTATGTATGATCTTATCGACGGTCGCGACTTCTTCAACAGGTCACGTCAAGGTCATCGCTTCGTTGCGGACATTCTGCAGAAGCGGGACTCTCTGAATCTGGAACAAGGTCGGAAGGCTGGAGCTGGTGAGACAGCGCTCCTCGACTTCTGCGACACGATTACCAACAACCTTTTCGCCGTGAACAGACTAGCAACAGCGCTACAACTCAAGACGCGTTTTGTGCAGCCAAGGTTCGCGACGGAGTTTGGAATCATCGACGGGTTTCTCTTTCGTGGCACGAAGAACGAAACCAAGGACGTTCTGCAAGAGGTGGGCCGCATCATCCGGGCAATGAAAACGCGACTGCATCGCGATTTGCGCCCTGTTGCGGACGATCTCCAGCTCATTCGGGACGAATTTGCGAGACATAAACTCCACTGTACCCGCTTCGCGGAAACCATTGACTCTCTCCGAACGTTGGCGACACGCATCGGTGTCGATCACGACGTCCAGACGCTGGATGACCTCGGCATCCGTCAGGATTTTGAAGATGAGCTGAAGAATTGGATCAGCTCGAAACGTCCAAGAATCCCCTGGGAACTGAACTGGTCCGATGTGATGGAGATGTGGAATGTGCAGGAGCTACCGGACGGCGACACACCCGTGAAGGAATGGGAAGCGAGAGGATTTGATTCCCAGTTGCAGTTCTGACCACAGCCCGTTGAACTCTTACGGACGCCTCGGCTAAGGCGGAACGCAGTGAATTTGACGAATCTTCAGCGAATGCGAAGGGCCGGCTCTCAATGAGCAGCGAACAATGTCACGAGTGGTTGTTCGGGAAAGAGAAACCGAAGTCGGACAATAGACGCGATAGCGAGGAATTAAGTGCCCTGTTCTGCACACCCGAGTCGCAGCAGAGATAAACCACAAGCAGAAGTGCGCTTGAATAGAAGTAATTAATATTCTTTCTTGAGTGAACAAGCGATGGGAATCTGATTCCGAAAAGTCAAAGGGACAACTTTATTTCCCCCAGTCGATTCACTTTCACACAGGAAGAACGATGGCCAACACTAGTAGTGAGAGTCAGAGTGACAATGAATCTCTGTAAAAATGTTGCGCCCCCACTTGAACATCTAGATCTACTCTCGCCTTTCGTCCAGTGGAAATGTTGAAGCAGAAGCTTTGGGATATTGTGACTCCTGATTCTGATTGTCTCCGGAGCAGGATAGGTGTATTTCTTCGCCCCTACGCCTACATACAAATGAGAGCTGTGTTGAAGGCATTCGCGAGTCGCGGGAATCGCAAGCAAGTTCTTCTTCGGTGAGAAGGCCGCTCCCGGGGTGCTTTTCATCCTGGCTGCGAGACCAACAGATGTGACAGATTGATTGGCGTCGCGACTGTTGTGTTTTGAAGTTGAAGCTGTTCACGAAGTTTACTACGAGGAACGCAAAGGGCCCGCTTACGTAAACAATTGCGCGGTCCGCCGCTTGAGAGATGACGATGAGCGCACAGAATCGAAGTATAGTTATACTGTTTTTTGTTCTGTGTTTCATCACATTGCGGAGCGTTACCTTCTACATCTGAGGCGCAACTTGAGTTGCTACTCTTCTCTTGTAGTTCCAGTTTTTTTTTTTGAAATGCGCTCGCGTTTTGTTCGCTTTCCCTTTGATTACGTGTGCGAGGTGTCAGAAAAAATGCACTGAGCGAAGCAAAACAAGATGCCACTGCGCGAAGTATGTAAGAGCCGAGGGGTCACACGCTAACTACGCCTGATGATAAATGTAAAACGTCCCGCGTTATACTTATTTATATTTTCGTTTTTTGATAAGCAGAAGCAAGTCTACTTCTAATCAAGGCCAAGCACGCCCGGCCGCTTCGATACTGTCGTAGACACGACCCCTCCATCGATTGCAAAGTCGCGGTGAGTGGCTCTGAAGCTTTCATCAATCTGCGACTACTTTCGTGTCTTCTTTTTGAGAGGAAAGCTCGAGGTCGAGATTGTCGGCAGCAAATCTCTCTGGTGCGATCCAATTCGGGAGCGTCGCCCGCCATTCCTCTTTAAGTATTACTATTGATGTATTTTGTAACTTCGACGAAGTGATGAGGACTTCCAGTTCCATGACAGGACCTCTTCCCGCTCTTGAAGAACTTCGAAGCCAACTCTACCACCACTGATTGAGCTACGTCCTTTACAAGCAGGAAACACAAGGGCCGGACTTAGAGCGGTTTATCTTGTTGTCACTTCGTATGAGCGTAGGAGCACAGAAGTCTTCGTTTCTTTGCGAGCTCAGGTGTTTTTTCTTCTATATTAAATCTAGTTTTTCTTCAACCTAGTTTTTTCTTCCATATTGATTTCATTTATTTTGTCTTTGCCTATACGACGAAGGTCAGTAGTCGGTAAGCTAGCAATCGTTGCAATACGGTGCTAGGACGCACACAAGAATGTCTGCACGCGCTGACGGGGCTTGTAGGGGCTTCCCGGGGGTCGGCAACAGCGACGCTGCGCGTTTGTTTGCAGCGCAGTTGAGTCAATATGTAAGGTTTGTAAGCCAAAATCCGCTGATTTTCTTATGTGTACTCGCTACGATAGTGGTGGACGTAGCAGCCATGTTCACACTGGGTTTCATACTCAGCCGCAGCAAGACATCATACTCAGATGTCTTGCTGCAGTACAGCGTTGTTGCAGCACTGCTGTTTGACTTCACGAGTGTCGTAATTTTGCGGCCACACTACGTCCGACTGCACTGGCAAGCGATGAGCCACCTGAAACCAGACACCGTATCTAGTTTTTTCCATGTTTGATTGTGTTACATGTTCTGAAGCAAGGCACATGCCTCGAGGACGCAGAACCAAGGAAACAAAATGAGTCGCGCAAGCTGCGGCAAGAGCAGCAAGAAACTACAGCAGTGATTTTTCGTGAAGCATGGAAAAACATGAGAAAAAAAACTACCCCACAGATCTACCACGTGCGAAAACTCGAGCTGCTTCATGGCATGGCGCAAGGTTTGGTCGGATGCCTTTGTTGTGGCCAGTATTTCCTGCATCTGCAAGAAGCTGGGGGTGACTTGGCGTTCGGTCCGCAGGTACTATTCATTGTTATGCAGGTAAACCTAGTACGACTACGTCAAGTCTCTTTCGTAGGATAATTGCCTTTCAGAAACTTTGACTCACGTACAAAGGACAATTAAGGTCATGATACTCACTCTTTAATACGACATTCTTCAAACGGAGTCCGCGTCAGAACCTCCAAAAGGTTTTTGATTGAGAAGAAAGCCTCCTGAAGGTTTTTGAGGTATGTGATCTTCTGAAGGTTTATCTGAAGGTCTGCCTTTCGTTCCAAACCTGAAGCCTTCTCAAAGTTGAAGCTCAAAAATGTCGCTTCTGATCACAAAACTCCGAAGATGTGGCGCAGTCCTTTTGTGACCTTCAGAAGATCAAAAAGCCCTCTGAACACTGAAAGGCTTCTGAAGGTTGGGACTGCCTCCCAAGAGGGCTACCTATTTTTGTAGCAGAAGCAGCGCCTTTTTTTTTGCGTTTCCATTTTTGCAGGCAGCTGAAGGTCAAAAATAACCGTTGCAAGGTCTTCTGAAAGTTGCGCCAGGCCATGACGTAGCAGAACTGCCAAAAGCGGCCACTTTATTTTGGCTGTTTCTGGGCAATTTAGGACAAGCCAAAAACAGCTACAGTACTTCTGTGATGAAAGCGCGGCTTTCGCTACTTTGACTCTAACCATACCCAAAAGCTATTCAACATAGCAAAAGCTGGAGCTTTGGTTTCCCTCTATTACTATTTAGCCGGCCTCTTAGCTTTTTCCGCATTCATTCTTGTAGGTCCTCCGAGAGATGATGATGAAGCAACAACTTTAGTAAAAGGGAGAGAGCCGAGCTGGAGCTGGGAGATGCTTCCAAGTCAAGCATACAGCTTGACCTTAATAGATCTTGATGAAGTAGCCGGAGAGCTATTTTGAATAGTTTTCGCGTTTTTTGCGTTCTTATTTTCTATTTCTAATATATGATGAATATAAGCTTGCGAGCCTTCATCTAACGTCGTGACTTTTTTTGCGCTCTATCACGAAAAACGGTCCGCAGTTAAAACTGAGTTTTGAAACGACCGGAAGTGTTTCTGCATATTTTCATCCTGGGGAAGTAGTATCAAGTAAATGAAACATACCGGGCGGCATGAATTCTCTCACTTTTCGTCTGGAACAGCGACGCGGCGGAGCCGGAAAAAGTGCCGCCGACATGGAGTCGGCCGATTTGGGACGCCCATACAGGGGCGCAAAAACGGGCAGTGAGAGAAAGGAAGCGAATCCGCATTGGTTTGCCTCGCCTTTCCTTTTTGCTCTACAGCTAGCTTTCAAGACAAAAAGACGGCCAGAAAAGTTGAAGTCGGCAGCTCTCTTGTTACGCGTGATGAAGCATGCCAAGAGATGCCGTTTCGCGGTTAAGAGCAAAGCCATCGAAGCTAAGCGTGCCGCGCGATCTTGCCGAAGTAGGGACTGGTCCTGAGTTTTGGGGCTTAGCATGAGGCGTAGGCTTTTGGTTTGGAATGTTTTCCAGAAGCTTCGCACGCCACCAGAAACTGAAAGCCAAGCCTCGTGCTGCGGACACATAGCCATAAGATTTTCGGCGCCCCTGGGTGGGGGGGACCCTGGACAGGAGTAGCATTCGGGAAGGGATTTCGCTTGCCACAGGAGCAAGGCCGCGTACGCGACCGCTACTCGCGAAATTTGATATAGCGCTAATACATGAAGATAGATGTTGTTGTTCCACTTCCATGTTGTTGTCAAGAAAAACTCGGGTCATAACACATAGCGATAATTTTCACAGGTTCTTTTGCGAGACCTTTGCTTGGTGATGGGTATCGTCACCATATTCACACTGCTTCTAGACCTAACCACTGTTGTGTGCAGATTAATTCTGCGTTTCCCCGGCGATCCCGAAGAGGAATTCCTGGCATACCTGAGTGCAGTGCTTGTTCGGCTTCTGCCGAATCTCTGCTGTCTGGGACTAGTTAGCGTCGCAGCGGCTGCGACGCCAAGTAGTTTGGGCGAGCAAGGTGGTTCGAGAACCGGTAGTGCCCAGGCGGCGAAAGTTTTCGTTTTCTTGGTCATTGGGACGCTGTTGGCCGACGGCGTAATGGTACACGTGTTAGCCTCGTCAATATAATCAATTTTGATGACCCAACAGACCGCATGCGCATCGATTTTGATACTGCACAACAAGCATGTCACGAACTGGTTGTGGTCTCGTGAAGAAGCACAAGCTTTGATTTTCGGGCTTTCGTTAATTTTTTTTTCCTGTTGCCAGTTCGATTTCATTTTCGGCACACCTTGGCAATTAAATACGCAGTGGTGCATAGACGAAGAAGATGCCTGCCACGGGTTCTACGAGGCCACTTACACTTTGGTGATGAACCATAATTGTTTTTCCCTGTATGATCTTTCTGAGTCGCAACTCTAACCACTCATGCCCAGGTGATCAGGAAGACGCATGCCGATTCGGAGTCAGATTGGAACTGGGTTAATACGATGTCCGGTATTTGAATAATTTAGATGGCGTCGTAGGACGTAGTAGCACCTTGCGCCTGCCAATTTTTATCTTTATTTTTGACATTTCATCCAGATGATCTGGATCATTTTCCACCAAAATTGTCCTTGAAATCCAGCATGCCCTTTCCGAACAACAGCTCACGACCGCCTGCCTCTGTTGCCCAGAAGTGGACCACGACAGAATTGATCGACGACACCGTGGAGAGACATTCCAGTGATGCGGCGTTAATATAGCATGAGATAGCTTTCTACTTGTGAATGAGCTTCAGCCTAGTAGAGCTAAATTTTCTATATCGCTTTCCGCTTTGCAAATTGATAACGCTATGTATATCTATATGAAACATTGACTGAGCTAGTTTAACCAAAAACTTCTCCAAACCAATTGAGATTGAAGAAGGTGATTCTGCAAGTGAAATAAAATTACTTTTGACTTTACGTGGGTCATCATCTTCATCAAGAAGTTTCCTCCACTTATTCTGCTCTTCGGCAAAATTGGCTGTGTCCCAAATGGATGATGTTGAGCTCCTAATCCGAATCATCCCCGTCGAATTTACCCTGTACTCGAACTGTAGGTTTGAGTTGAACAGACGACCTTTTTTCAGTCATCATTAAATTTGTCGAGCACCTCTGACTTGTGTGTGTCCGACTGTGAGCTACGATGTATAATACGCATTTTTTTCCTCTTTTCACCTCATGCTATCGGCTACTGTGCACTGAACAATGGACACTCACCTACTTATTTTGATTTTGCGTGTGGCGCTATCAAAATCTAATCAATCGCCAGAGTATGATAGCTGCCCGCTTTATTTGATCTCGGCCGTCCGCTCATTTTATTGTTTTTTGGTAGCAAGCTAATACAGTACCGAACTACAAGAAGCTTGCGCCATATTGTTTTTGTATGATTGCTTACAGCGAGCTGCTTTTCAATTTGAACTCCAGGTTTAGCGACACAGAACTACTTTTGACTTTAATATGCAGGTAAAGTATTTTCGTGATGATATTTCTTCTCGTGAGCGTCCTACCGAATGAAGCAAAACTATCTAGTATATATGATTGCGTGCCAGCGCCAGGTGGAGCTCCAGCAAGTGCAATTCGAACTCCAAATGAATTCAAGCTGCTCCGCGAACTTTGGGCTTGAGCTGAACAGATGATCTTTTTCCAGTCAGCATCATCAAACCTCAAGAATAGATTTTCGCTGCACTTGTTTCCTTTCTATAATTTGTATTGTCATCTTACTTATCGCATGATCGATGATCATTGGTCGCTTTTCTTCTCGGCCGTTCGCCTATTTCTTATATGTGTGATTGGTTAGTTTTCAATATCTCTATTAGTGTGATTATTGAACACTTTTGAATTTGAGCTCCAGGTTTAGCGACACGGAGGCTTGCAAGTATTTGCCGTGGCTTGCTACAGAAGTCAAACCAATCCGCTACATATATATATTAAATGAAAAGCAAAAGATGCCAATGCCTTGCTACTTTGTTTTATTTCAAAACCACGCGTGTTCATGTTCTTGTGCGCCATTTGTGAGAGCACTGACTCGCAAGAAAATACTTGAGAGACTTGACAGCTGTTGCTATCAGTGAGACCGCTGCGCCCATTTCCATTATTCGAGCAAGAATTCAATGGCTGGAGCCGCAGATCATGATCGATCTGCAACGGGGCGCAGGTTTAGGCCGGTGCTTCAGGCGCCAGTGATGACGTTCGCACTTACCAGCTGACCACCAGAAAACGTACAAGCGAACACTTGCTCGCTCTTCCTTCTCCTTCTCCTTCGCCCTCTTTAGGTCCCCATGCTCTTCTTCCTCTCTTGAAAAATAAAATTATCAGCGATTTAGGTGTGCTTTTATCTATTATTTTTAGTTGTTTTATTATGATTTTATGTTTACTTTGCTATGCTTATTGTTGTATTTCTCCTCTCTGAATAGTTTGTGCTTGGAGGGTTCATGTTCATCTTCATTTATCATACATGATGACAATTCAGCAGCGCATCGCCATGGTGAGAGTACGCTGGCTGCATGGATAGGCATTACTAGAACGTGAATGCCGTGGCAGCGCGGAAGGGGTTGGATGTTGAGAAAATGAATAAAATTCGAATCGAAGGCTCTAAAGTCAGTGAGCCGAGCCCGAGCTTTGGATCACCTTCGAACGCATTCTTGTGACTGTCTTCGCATTTCGACTTGCATCCAATCCGTGGATGGTTGTGACTGCCATTATTTGTGTCGATTGATCGTTGGTGTGGACGACATGTTGATATCTTCTGTATTCACTTTCACAGCACTAGGGTTGTCATGATTCGATCCTTTTTTTTTGTTTTGTTCTTTTCTCTTCTAAAAACGTGAGTGAGTAGAATTAGCGCTTCATAGGTTTCTACAGCTCTAATTCTTCTTGGTAGCCATCGTAGTCGCTTGTTTGTTTTGTAGCGATTGACAGTATTATCTATGCATTGTGTAGGACATAGACATTGAGTGCAAGACGAGTTAACTAAAGCTTCTAGCTGAATCCAAATCGGGCCAGATTGTTCATTCAACCTGGATCTGCAAAGAAGTCAAGTGTTGACGTGTGAGCATGTCGAGGTTCCTGGGGACAGGTTGAGGTCTCGCTCTTGTCTAGCCCTCTCTTAAGTAGAAGAGCTTGAGTTTGAAATATTCCCATGGACGAGGCCGGGGAGCTTATCGGCGGACTTCTGGTTGGAGGCGCCGCTCTTCTCGGTTTCCAGCTGCATCACGTTAGGGACCGTTGGCAGCATGTGGCTCATCATGGTGGTGAAGTTGTCGAAGAGAGAAGCTCAAAGGGTTCATCATCTTCGTCGACATCTACCAGCGGAAGCGCCGAGGCGGGTTTCGCTTCGGGTTCGGTGGAGCCCGAGACTTTGGCGCTGTTTGTCGAACAGGACGGCACCACACACGGCAGCTCTGCCTCCAGTAATGAGCAAAGCCAAGGTGGGGGTGGTGCGCTAGTTGAGCAGATTGCGGAGGTCGTGGCACCGTCTACTGAGATACAACACCATCACCATGCGGAAAGTCTCACGTCGGTACTGTCAACGAATTCGTCGACTCCACCGCCAATTCCTGCTCCACCTACAACAAAGAATATCACGACCGCGTGCCAGCAGAGGTTAGTTGGTGATGGGAATACGGACGCACTTTCTGCATCGAGTGTGAGTGACGGCTCTTGTCCGGAACCGGATGGTCGTGCCGCTACAGTCTCATCTGAAACGCAGAGCGGTAATCGATGTCCCTTTTCTCCGTACCGGAAACTCGGCGATTTTTTTCTAAGTGTGGTCTACTGCATCTAATCTACCTAATGTTGTTGTTCCTCTTCCTGTTAGTCTGCAATATTGAATATTCACATCTGCTGCAAATAAAAAAGGGCGACCAGCCGAACACGATTCCGGAGCACTAGCAACGGCTTCCGGAAGCGACGGCTCTCCGCCTGCGGTAAATCCAACTCTGTCCACGGCTGTAAACAAACTACGAGATGAAGGAGTAATGTCTTTCGACATCGGGGCAACCGAAGCTGCGTCCGCCTCCTCGCTACTCGCCCAGATGCGCATCGCCGACAGTCACAAAAGTTTCCCCCTTGCTTCAAACGCAACCGGAACCGCCGTGACGTGGTCGGCAATGAAGAAGTGGATGTCTTCTCCTTCGCGCCCTCTGTCTTCTGTGTCGCATCACCAAGGAGATCAGCAATCCAATACTGCCAAATCACTTCCCGACTTCAGAGCCGAGAGCAGTAATTTGACAAATAACAGCATGCCTGCTAACGCCAAACAGCGGAAGCACGGCCGTCAAAGCTGGGCCATTTCCAGCACGGACACAGTTTTGTATAAAAACGAGACGGAGACAACCATCAGTAGAAAGGGGCGCGTATATCATCTTCATCATGAGGACAAGGAAGAAACCGCTTTTATTCCGCGGAGAATATCAATACCATCGACAAAGATTCACGACGCTGATGCAAAGGATAAGAACCCGGCTGAACTTGAAGTTGAACTTGAAAGCCGCAATAAGAGTCATCTCAGCATCAACTTCAACACCAGCACAGGGGATGGGATTGCTACCTCGACCTTGACTACGTCGGTGATGTGGTAAGTACTTCACTTTTCGTGTTTTTTTGTATGTTTTACCTTTATTTCATTTTCACCTAATTTTAGAGGCTGTGCAACAATTGGACCCCCTTTCGACAGGTCGAAAGGGGGGGGGGGTAGGTAGGTCGACTGCCGGAATCCGGCGGCCGGCCCGCCGATGTGTGGGTGGGGGTCCGGCCCCACCGGCATTGGTCGGGTGGGGGTCACGGCCCGTGGCTCGGTCGCCGGCTCCCCCGGCACTGGTCGGAGGCCCGCCTTTGCTTGTGTGCAGGCACTTATCCACGGCACCGGGCTTCACTACTCCGACAAGGAGCAAAACGCACTCCGCTTTGTTCTTTGTCGGAGCAGCGAGCCACCGAAACCGGCCCCGCGCAGCATGATACTGGAATGGCCTCAGCTTACGCACTGGCCCACAGCTCTACTTTTTGGGGGGTTGCGCCGTGACCTGCTACGCCCTGTCCCTTTTCATCCTTCACGGGGCACAGCAAGCGCGAGCCCTGCCTTTCACTCCGCCGATTTTCCGTCGGGGGAGGGGCTCTGTTGCATGGCCTGGCGCGCGATACGAGGCCGCGCGCCATCCCATGGCGGGTCATTTTATTCTGGCCGGAATGGCGCAGATGTTTTTTGGAATTGACTCACAACTTGGCTCCGCGATTCTGATAGTAGATCGCAGGACCGCATCCGGCGAAGCGACTTTTTTGGCTGGCAACGACGACCACAGGCGGACTTCGTTCGCAGAAATTCAGAAGTCCGGCCTTGCCCACTATGTTAAGGCTCAAAAAAATCCATCCGCTCAACGGCTCTCAAAATGTTTGAAGCCTGGCCAGAAAAAAGGCATCTGCGCAAAAAGACACGCGCAGCAGTTTGCGACGCTCGGCTTTGTGAGCGCGTTCGCGCTGCAAAGTAGCGATTTGATTTTTTGAACCTTTTTGCGGGCCTTCATTTGTGATCATGCGCCTTTCGGGGCGGAAAAGGAGCTGGGAGCGTTTTATCATCGTTTCCCGCTCTTTCGCAAGACTCTGTGACTTGCAGAGCTTGCAAGTTTCTTTCAAACTTCAGCTGAAGTTCAAATTTGGCTTGAAGCTTTAAGTCAAATTTGAACTTCAAGTGAAGTTTGGAAGAACTGAACTAGTCCCACAAGTGGGTCCAACAAACAAATTTCCCAATAGGATTTGGCGTTTTCCGGACTTCTGTCGGACACCGCTGAAGGAGTAGAGCAAACAAATTTTGAGCAAAAAATTGAATACCTGCAAATGTATGCGAAACGGCGAAAGGTAGAAAAAGGCTGTCAAAATGGTCGCAGCTCGTGTTTTTTGATGCTCGACGGGGGGCGCTTTACAACCTACAGCCACAGCATCGGCGACGGCTTGCGAAGTGAAGCAGTGATGGGAGTACGGTCTCGCCAACCGCATTGCAACAGCTCGCGCACACAGATCGCGCAGAGTGCTCGGCCTTGCTCCTCGAATGCGAAGCGGGGCCCTATCGACTTTTCACCCCTTGCAAGAATTACTTCAGCAAACATTTTGGGAGCCGGGCTCCGAATGGATTTTTTTCACCCCTAACTATGGCGGATTTTATTAGACTGTGTTCATCATAGGGGTAGCCTGCCTGTGTTCGTTTTCGCTTCGTTCGCCGCGAGCCCTTGGCAAATGAATAAAAGCGGAGCCGTGGCGGTTTTCCTAGCAATTTAACCACAGCGGGCGCGCGATGCGCGGCCCGCGAAATTTTTGCAAGCAATGTAAAGCACACGCGCGTGGCTCCTAAGTTTTTTTTTACAGAGACTAGTTCGCGAAGGGAGTGGGCAATATACCGGCACCGGGCGCGCGCAGCGCGCCGCGCAAAATTTTTGCAAGCAATGTAAAGCAGCACACGCGCGCAACGTAGCTGCACCTCGGGCGGCGCGTGGTAGTTCGCGAACGAGGGTGGCAATGTACCAGCACCGGGCGCGCGCAGCGCGCCGCGCGAAATTTTTTGCAAGTAGGCCGCGATCCAAGCAGGAAAGGCCGGGGAGCGCCTTCAGCGGGCGTGCGTAGCGCACCCCGCACAGCCCATCTGTTAGAAACTGGGGACGCTTGTCGAAAGGGGGGGGGGGAGGGGGGAGGTAGGTCGCCAGCAGGCCGCTGACCCCCCTTTCGACACGTCGAAAGGGGGTCCAGTTTTTGCACAGCCTCTATATTTTTTTCGAAGCCAGAGCTAGAGTAGAGCTTATCTGTAGGCTCCGAGTACTAAAATACGTAAATCCACGCGCATTTTTATTATAAAGAAAAGATTTAACTTGATGCGTTTGTGTCGAGCTATTCCAGTTTATTTACAGAACCTATTAGTCCTGCTTTCACTTTCAGTTTGAGTACCAACTCCGAGACTTGGTTTGAGTGGCAGACTCCGGTGACGGCTTTAGTCTCAGGCCCGGGCTTGTTGGAATTGGGTAGCAGCTTCTCGCTTCCTTGGATTCGCGTTTATACTTCGAGCTCGCGTATGATTTTCGATGGCGTTTCCAGGCAACCTTGTTGGTTGACGAGCATGACTTTCCGAGCAGCTCGCAAACGCAGCCACAGCTAAACAAGAAAACCCGAAAAAATGGAGCAGTTCCACGCTAGGTCTAGGCCCCGAGAAGGGTGCGCTTGACGCCAAGAACATGCAGCAGGCTTTCGCGCCAACAAGCATCTTGAGAAACAAAGACAAAAACTCTGCCTGCCCCCCCCTTCCCCGCACGGGCGAGGAGAGCCCACCGAGACCCACACAGGCCTTGGCTCAACCCAGGCCACCGCGCTAGCTTGAAAAAATGCTCTGTAAAAGCTTTAGCCTCGCACGTGCGTCCGGCGAGATAAAGTTATATATAAGCCATTGGCATCAACGTCATCCTTATCGCAATGGGGCAGTAGCTGTGAATCCGAAGTCAAGCCCACGCGCAACGACGACAATAGCACCTGTCTCTCCCGCCCTTGGGGGCATGGATTGCTTGTTGTGCCCAAACACGCCCCTCGGGAACTGCCGGGGCCATGAATCCCAAGAAGAAGAAATGCTGGCCATGTCGTGGGAGGCACGCGCGTTTACACTGAGGTGTACCTCATTGCCAGAGGGTGCGACGTTCTCCTTCTCACACAGCAGCTGCATGTGCGACGTTCTCTGATGCGCTGGAGCGTCGTGCCTTCGCACACCGACCATGCAGGGGAGGAACTGCGAGGGTGTCAGTCGCTATTTTCGGTCTATTTGTTTCTTGTCGGAAGCACAACCCGAAGCCCGAAACTCGGTGGCTGCATTCCGCGAGTGCGATTGCTCTGGTTTTATCTAGGGCGTTTATTCACGCCGACAGGAAGGACCGTTCCTGTAACCTCCGATAAAACATCCTAGAAAGTTACTTCTAGCTTGTCTATGCATTCTGCATTCATTGATTGGGATTGCTTAGCTCTACGTGTTCTCATGTCACGCCCTCAAAAGCCGTGGAGTCAGCTCATCTAGTAGTGCCTCAATTATGAAGAGGTTGCCGCGCCCCCGTTGTGCCAACACGGCGGCGCGAGTGCAACTTGCTTATTCTCATGTCACGTCCTCCGGATGAAAAATGAAAATCAGGTGCGTTTTGATGTCGGCCGCAGGCTTTGCGCTCTTGCTATTGCTCTGGAAAATGAATAAGTGGTGCAATGAGCAGCAGTTGCGAAAAAGGAAGGAACAACAACAACGAGAAGTACTGCCAGAGAAACACCAAGGGCAAGCACAAGAAGAAATTGAAGGCATTATTTTCGTCGATCCGGAAGATGATCAAGATTCTGAATACGAGGACGCGCTGGAAGTCGGAAGCGCGGGGAGCACCGCTACCAGTCGTCACGAAGATGAAGACGCGCTAGAAGCTGCAGCTTCAAGCTCGCAGCAATTCACTGCTGATTATCGGACAAGAAGTTCTGCGCAGACAAATTTCGGTGCGGGAAGCTCTTCGTCCTCTTCAAGCGGCGACCCCGGCACCAGCTGCACCACCACGGCTAGCGGGGAGGGAGTGTCGTCCGCGCTACAAGCTGCAGCTTCAAGCTCGCAGCAATTCACTGCTGACTATGGGACAAGTTCTGCGGCGAGAAATTTTGCTTCGGGAAGCTCTGCGTCTACTAGCAAAAGCGCCAGCAGCAGCACCAGCATAGCTGCAGGAGACAGCAACGCAGTGTTACATCATCAAGACGAGCACGATCCCGGTGCTAGCGGCGGCGTCTGCGCTCTGCTTTATCGAACGCAAGCACAGGAGCACGAGGATCAGCTAGAGGGCATGATGATGACTGGACGCGACCAAGAAGATGAGCTGGATGAAATAGACAGCAACGAAAGCGACACCGACATGACGATGCGCGGATTGGAGACGTGGACAAGATATGAACAACAAGCCAAGAACGTCATCAATGCAACGAAAACGATAGGCATATTAATAAATATTAGTACAGCAACAGCACCACACTTGTTGGTTAGACTGAGTCTGGGACGTAATGTCGTCCATACTTGGTAATCTTAATCTATCATCATGTCATCCACAGGTGGATAGACTTACAGGTAAATTTGCAAGGAATACGGGCGAGGAGCACAGGCGTTAGTAGTAAAAGTAATAGGAAGAATGGACGAGCTTGCGCTTGCGCTATGTAGTCATTGCTCAGGGTCCAGGTGCAGCTGTGGCAGCTGGTGCTGCTCACTGTCAACCATCGCACATCTCACTCATGCTCAAGAATTATCCCAGAGACTAGGAACACTCAGTGGCTACGATACCTGAGCCGAACTCGAGAGGATAAAAAAAGCAGAGTCTGTCTGTTGTGAGTATGTTTTTGGTTTGTTTCGCCGCTAATAAAAAGTCGCCCTTCTTCTTCGCGAGCGGTTGCGAAAGGATCGGCGGACGTATCGTTGGCACCTGCGGACCAGAAGGGTCACGGGGGCAATGCGGCTGCTGCCCTTGCAGATGACGAGATAAGAGGTGAGTGCTGCGTTGATTGTAGTCTAGCTAAAGCTAATTCTCATATGATATTAGAATTACGACAAACGAAGGGTCACGCTCTGCAATCATCAAATGACCGCACGGCACTCCTGGCTTTTATCATACTTAGTTATCCACTTGCACTTCTATTTTTCGCATTCCATTGTAATACATTGACTCACTCCATCTTTCGATCCACAAATGAGAATCTCGGCCGTTGCCGTTGGCGTTGCGTCCCTTGTTCTCGTGCTGTTGGAGTTTTCAGCGAGAAGGAGGGCGCGATCAAGATATTGTATTGACTTGAATCATGTATTTTCAGGAATCAATAGACCGAATCGCGAAGCTGGGAGGAGGGATGAAGTAGCTTAGTTACTCTGAATTTAAGGTCTACCCTCTGATATATGTCCTTACCTTTTCTTCTACATAATGATAATAAACACATATTTAGCAACATGATGAATGATGGTGCAGTGCAAGAAGACTTGCACTTGAAGTGCCAGCACCTTGAGTTTTCGATTGTGATGTGGACGATACTTGTTAATTTATTGCTCTCGATAACTAAAAATGTAACAGTAACTGACTGCCATTGTCGCGTCAGTCATCGTGTAGTTGGCTTCGCTCCATCCTTGTTGTAGCCATCCTTCTTCGCCGCGTGCGAGGACGAGAAGTAGGATGTAGGCTTGCGATTATTTGAAAAAAAAAGCCTCCTTGGAGGAAAATTAACCATCTTTGAGGGAAGAATGCAAATGCCACTTCATCAACTTCTGGGGGCTAGGAGCCACCCGCTTGTTGATCGTTAGTTTCAGCAGAATGAAACAAATACAGACGACGGTACAACTTTCTTCCGTTTACATTCTTTGTACATCATCGTGGATGTGTTTCTCTTGTTATGTTAAGTTGCAGCGTAGCAAGCAATAGCAAACGCAAAGAAAAGGAACAAGTCAGAAAGTTATTGGCTCCGGGGAGAGTTGTTTTAGGCCAACAGCCGCTTCACGCAGCTTCTGTTGTGGCAAGAGTTCGGGAAATTCATGCACGTTGTTCCTGTTCTTGTGCTGGCCCTGTGGCCGACTTACTTAAGTATCTGCCTGCAGTGTATAATTCTTGCGTCCGCGTTGGTGAGTATCAAGACCTCAGCGCATTTGCGCAGGGACATTCGCCACGGATATAAATGCTACAGTGCTATAGTAGTGTTAGGTAGTTTAGTTTACTTTGCGTTGCTTATTGTTGTGCTTCTCTCTTATTGTTATATATATTTTTCACACACGCGGGCAGAACAAGTATCCACACACGCGCCGCGCCCATTTCTAGCAAGGGACTCTATTGATATCGTCGCGCACGACTCCGCTTCCGCATGCCCAGACTTACACTCGCACTCACTCTCACGCATTGCATTTTCATGTATGACTACAGCGCTGGACTGGGTATGTTGCGTCTCATCTCGTCGATTTCGTTGATCACGGCATGATGCTTCTTCTCGCCTGTCCTCGGTTTCGTGCTTCTTGATTGTTTCGTCCTCGTGCAAAAACACTGACTGCGTCCGCAAGAAAAGCTGCAAAGCACTCGTAAAATAAACGTTTCTGACGTCAAAATTCGTTTCTTCGTCTTGTTTGTCGTCGTGACAATCCACTTTGTACTTGCAGCGGATTTCCTCGTGCAACATTTACATTTCGTCCGTCGTTTTTCAGGCCGATGCAATTTTCTGCACTAATCCTCTTCATACGTCGTGCGTTTTCTTGGCAATGTGTAGATATATATTCCGACATTCCACCACCTCCTCCACCTCCAGAGTCAAGGATATTGTTGTCTCCCCGTAGTTGATAGACAAGTCCCGACTTTTCCGATTCTCCTTTTTACAGCGTTTGTGTCCTCTTAAGTAGTAGATTTTAGATTAATGGTCATCCCGTGGTTGCATCCAGGTCAAATAGCACGGCTGCCAATTCTTGTTTAGTTCGGTCAACCGCAACCGCAACACAATTGCTCAAACTCTTTACTTTTTTACGTGAATAAGTGTAAGCGAAATGAACAAGGCGAAGAACACTAGAGCATGAGAAGGGCATTTCCCCAGCACGGAAGCAGAAACGTGCCTTGCACATCTGGAGCAAGGGGCGGTCTTTCTATCCCGATCTTCCTGGTAATTATCCTTGCCGCCATGAAGAGAGCCGTACTTGCGCGACATCCCCCAGGGTCCTTCAATCGGGCTGGAAAACACCTTGCCGCCTTTGCGTTGGTTGCACAAGGACCGATATCGTACGCAAAAGCTGCAGCACTGTGAGGACTTTGTTCAATATTTTATTGTTGCCAAATGAGGAAGCGGAAAGCGAAAAGCGTTGTTCCACGGGGAACCAGTAATTGCATCGTGCATGTATTCTTACATCCAACAGATGAAGCCCAGCGACAAGATAACAAGTCCCTGGGTAGCATCTAGTGAATGTTGTGCTTCCGTTGTGCGTACTTGTTCATCGACTCAGTCCGCAGTGACGCAGTTTATTTTCTTCCGCGATACCGGAGGGAAGCTCGCGCCGCGAGGAGGATCGCGGCGGACACGGCCGAGAAGATCCAGAAACTGTTTCCCGGGGCGGAGATCCTCGACTACTCATCTGAGGACGCTGGGGAGTTTGAACAACCCCCGTGGAAGCTTGCCTATCAAAATGAAAATCATTGCCCCATACAATATAGGCGTACGTCGTTGAAGTAAGTACTTGCAAATATGCATGACGATTTGTGGTGACACACAAGCAACTCGTACTCAGGGTACACTGTCTACTCGAACTTGTATTTCGGATTTTGCATTGCAATTATGTATTCACACCGACGTCGTCATCTGTAAAGCACTCACTGGAGCACCCGTGCACACAGAAGTCTGCCAGGACGAGCGTTCGCTGAGAATTCGTGTGAGGCAGCGTTTTCATCATGATGGCGAAGACCTCAACACTGTAGGGAATGTTCCATATCAAAGAAATAAAAACTGCGTGTGCTAGTGTTGTGGCAGAATATATAAATACAGAACAACGAACCCGACCTCTATAAATAAAATGGACACTATCAATAATATGTTGGAATGAAACGTCTCAGGCCGCGGTCGCTGTTTAGACATACGCGTCGAAGTTTGCCACTATTATTCCCATGCGATAGTCGTTCCCGTCCCGTCTGCCTGAAGAACTTGTATTTATTTTCTTTCCATCTACTGCTACTGCAAGTGCAAGTGCAATCGCAAAGTCCTCTAGCCTTGCATCACACTATCACACGTTTTCTCTTCCATAGTGGAGCATGGGAAGACACCGAAGTTCTGGAAAAAAACGCTGACGATGCGGCAAGATACGGTCTAGTACCTGGTACTTGTCAGGCGCCCGTCGCTAACAAGGAGAAGAAGCCCCCGAGTGTGCTCGCGGACAAAACCTGCCAGAGCGTCTGCGTGGAAGAGGAAGACGCTTACTCCTGCTTTTTTGACCCTGCAACGCGGTGGTGTGCGTGCAAGGATTCAACAGGCAAGACCAAGCCGAAGTACGAAGTAGAGAGCGCAGATGCGGCTGTGACAGAAATCACGGAAGGACGGGCTGGCGAAATTGACGCCTCATCTCCATCTTTATTTGGCGCGGGTAGGTGCACGGGTAACATCCTTCGTACCGTGAAGAATGCGGACGGGGCCACCGAGAATTGCCAGGACCTCTGCGAAAAGAAAGAGACAGTGGTTCGCTGTTTCTTCGAGCTCACGACCGACCATGCCGGGTGCAAGTGCCGCGACAAAAATCACGAGTACGTTCCGGACTACAAGACGCGCGAGGAAGCGGGAGCTGAGGCAGTTGTTGCGGAAACCGAAGAACTGGACGCTGGTGAAGCGGAACAAACCTTTTTCTACAGGGATCTGCTTCAGTGTGTGGCGCCTGCCGGGAAGAAAGACCTTGAGAGCGAGGTGTTTCGCGCTGTAGTGGATGGTAACAGACGGACCTGTGGGAACGTCTGTGAGCAAGACGGCAAGAACGACGCGTATTCTTGTTTTTTCGACCCCGCCACACGGGACTGTGGGTGCGTGCATTCGTTGAACAAATTCAAGCCGCATTACCTGGGCGCGGCGGAGAGCGTCCAGAGAGTGAGCGTCGAAGGCGCAGGAAGTGACGATAATAAAAACGTGGACTTCAACGGTCGCTGCAAGGGAAAGGCGACACGGACGCTTGGCGACGGTGGGAAGGGCTGCAGTGATGTGTGTGCGCAACAGCAGACCATGCTTGATTGCTTTTTCCAGGCTGACGCAAAGAGCTGCAAGTGTCGTGACGTGAACCATGAGTACCTGCCGATTTATGAAGCTGCCGATGCTGGCTCGGGCGACCAAGAGATCGTCGAGCCAACCACGGAACAGCTGACGCAGGCTGCCGCAGAACCGGACAAGAATGGAGATGGAGAGCCTGAAAGTATTGCATTGCATCGCTGCAGCGCTCCCGGAGCAGATGCCTCGATGAGCAAGGTCGACCCGTCGAAGAGCTGTGCCACTGTCTGCACAGAAAAGAAAACCGCGTACTCCTGCTTCTTTGATCCCGCCGCGCGGGATTGTGGATGCATTGACAAACTGAATGGGTACGTCGCTCAATACGACCCTCCTACACAGGCCAGGCAGTACGTCAAAGTGGAAGACGTTGCACAAATATCGCTAGAAGCCGACCTCCTCGGCTGCACGGGAAGCGCCGTCCGCAAGGTGTCGACGTTGGCCGGCACCGAGCAAAAGTGCAGTGAGCTCTGTGTGAGCAAAACCAGTCTGATGCAGTGCTTTTTCGAGGCCGAGGCGAAGGCGTGCCTCTGTGGAGACAAGACGCATACGTATGTTCCAGAGTACGCGACCGCACCCTCGGCTGCGCCGGAAGATGAGACCGTACACGTGGACGGTCCGACGGAAGTGAAGTTTGATCAAGCGTGGAGCGAAGCCTTCTTCCCGAAACAGTGCGCGGCGCCCTCGGACACAGACAGCAGGGTCTTCCCCCAAAAGAAGTGTGGGGAAATTTGTGAAAACAGCAACCACGATGCCTACTCCTGCTTTTTTGATCCGGCATCGCGGGACTGCGGTTGCGTGGACTCGCTGAGTCTGTACATACCCTTGTACGAGTACAAACCGGACTCAGACCCTGATGCTCTCACACAAGAGCTTGCGACCGCCGAAGCCGCTGCGAATTTCGGCAACAACCACTGCACGGGGAAGGCGCTGCGAAAACCCGGGGAAGACAGTGAACAGAACTGTCTTCAGCTCTGTGAAACCAAAACAACGGCGACTGAGTGTTTTTTCGAGGCGTTTGCGAAGGCATGCAGGTGCCGTGACAAGACTCACACTTTCATACCCGACTACGCGGACGGACAGCCCCCACCCGACGCGGTCGAGATTGTGGACGTAGCTCCAGTAGTGCCCACAAAACTGCCATCGGCTACAGCGGGTAATTACTTACTTGATGTCGGCCGGTGCGCGGTCCCTGACGGCACCGACGGAAGCACGAAAAGCAGGGTGTACCCAAAAGAAACCTGTACTGAAATTTGCAGCGCAAGTGGGGATGCGTATGCGTGCTTTTTTGATCCTGCAGCGCGTGACTGCGGCTGCGTGGATAAGGGGTCGTCGGAATCGGAATCGCTGTACAAGCCAGACTACGAGCACACGCCCGCTAGTGGTCCGGCAACTCCTGTAACCACTGAAGCAGCACGTGAAGGTACAGTCGCAACGGACTTCGGAGCAGACTGGTGTGTGGGAAAGCGACAACGCAGCCCGGAAGGCAGCGAGAAAAAATGCGATGAAATTTGTGCAGAAAGGAACACTGCGTCGGAGTGCTTTTTCGGTACCAATTCGGAGTTGTGCAAGTGCCGCGACGTTCAGCACAAGTACATTCCGGAGTACGCCGCGGACCAGGAACCGTCCGAGGCCGAGGAGATTGTGGACGTAGCTCCAGTAGTGCCCCAAAAACTGTCACCGGCTGAAGCGGGTAATTACTTACTTGATGTCGGCCGGTGCGCGGTGCCTGACGGCACCGACGGAAGCACGAAAAGCAGGGTATACCCAAAGAAAACCTGCACTGAAATTTGCAGCGCAAGTAAGGATGCGTATGCGTGCTTTTTCGATCCTGCAGCGCGGGACTGCGGCTGCGTGGATAAGGGGTCGCCGAAATCGCTGTACGAGCCAGACTACGAGCACACGCATGCTAGTGGTAGTGAGGCAACTCCTGTAACCACTGAAGCAGCAGGTGCAGGTACAGTCGCAACGGACTTCGGAGAAGACTGGTGTGTGGGAAAGCAACAGCGCAGGCCGGAAGGCGGCGAGAAAAGATGCGATGAAATTTGTGCAGAAAGGAACACTGCGTCGGAGTGCTTTTTCGGTACCAATTCGGAGTTGTGCAAGTGCCGCGACGTTCAGCACAATTACATTCCGAAGTACGCCGCGGACCAAGAACCGTCCGAGGCCGAGGAGATTGTTCCCGAGCAGGGTGGTCCGACGCTGTTATCGTCAACCGCTGCTGCGGGCTTAGCCATGGAATGCACGGGTGATGCGGCTCGGCAAAGCAAGGTGTTGTCAAAATTCAATTGCGAGCAAGTCTGCACCAGTCGCGAGGAAGCGTACAGGTGCCTCTTCGACCCCGCGGGGCGTGACTGCGCATGCACGGACAAGGACGGCAAGTTCACGCCAAACTACGCCTATGTTAGCGGCAGTGCAACAGTACTCACTCGAGCAGACGCGGAAAATCTGGACGCAGACCTCTTCAAAGAAAAGGGTCGCTGCACTGGCAATGAAAAAAGGGTGAGTTCCCATGATGGGAAGACTACCTGCAGGGCTTTGTGCGAGCAGCAAACGACCGCGCTTGAGTGCTTCTTCGAAGACAATACGCAGGCGTGCGACTGCCGGGACGTGAAGCATGAATACGTGCCCGACTATCACGCCTCTGAAGCAGCTGCTGGGCACCAGGGCGATCAAAATGCAGAAGCGCAGGGTCAGACTAACCCTGCGCTGGCCGGAGACTTGTCCACCGTCGCCACTGGGGGTGAGGAAACAATGCTTTTCGAGGAGGGCACAATTCCCGGCGTGGGCGGGCTGAAGTATGAACCGACGAGCACCGGGCGCGATGCGGCCACCTTGGGGTTCGCGAACACCGTGAACGACCGGCTTCTGAAAGAAATGCACGACATGGACGCCAAACTCACCGCCGCGGCCAACGCCGCAGGCGCGGAGGCGAAACAGACGGCCGCCACCCTGCGTCCGGTGTTTCTCACGAAGCAGCTCAGGTTTTTGCAGCAGGCGGACCAGGTGACGAAGTTTTTCACGGACGAGGTGTTTACACTGATGGTGAACCAGACCACGCTGACAGCAGACGTCGCCATCGCGCTGGAGGTCTCGCAGTACGCCAACGCGACGTCCTCGGGCGGGGCGAAGAGCGCGGCCAGCAGCCTGGTGGTGCACGAAAAAGCCGTCGAGACCGCTGCGCGCGCGTTCGCGATGCGCATGCGGCAACACTTGAACGACCACACGTCGGAGACGTCGGACCTGCCCTGGGCCGCGGAGTGGGCGCCGGAGACGTCCGCAGGTGCGACGCACCGGCCCGGGAGCGTGGTCCCGCTCTACGCGGAAGTCTCCCAAGTGAAGCAGATGGACGCGGCGCTGATCGACACTTTCCTGCGCGAAACCGTCCTGAAGAGCGGCGTGGTGGAGAATGCAAAGCCGGAGGAGGAGAAGGAACTGAACCACACCACGCAGAAGTTTTTCTACGACCTGCGTGGGGTGATGCTGGACTCCGTCGCGCTCGGGGGCGACACGGTGCAGGACCGGCGCGCGGAGCTGTACGGCCACGCCGTACGGGACCTGTTTTTCGCCACGTTCGCCGGGCCGGTGGTACTGACGGAGGCGGCGGCCCAAGAGCTGGCCGACAAGCTCGCGGCCGCAGGGAAGCCGGCCTTCGACGGGCGCTGCGCGGGTTCTGATGCGAGTGGCGACGGCTGTGAAAAGCTGTGCAGCGAAAAAGTTGACGCGCACAACTGCTTCTTCGCGGCCGAGGGGAAGAACTGCCAGTGCCACGACAAAAACTTTGAGTACTTCGCGGACTACAACACTGCCCTCGTCGCGAGCGCCCCACCGCGCGCGGAGGCGTTCGCTGCCGAAGCCGTGATCGCAACCGACGCCCAGGAGTTTGCGCGGAAACAGCGTGTGGCGGTCAAGGCCGCCCGCGACTTGCGCACAACGGTCCTTCGCGGAGCCAGCAGCAACTTTGGCGTGTCCGCCTCTTGTTGCGGAGACGCCCTTTCCGCAGCCGAGCGATTGAGCGGAGACGCGCCCGAGCAAGCGACAGCTGCAAAAGGTTTGTTTGGGTCCGCCTCTTCTTCCTTTGCACAAACTGTGCCGGCGGTGGAGCGCTGTCCGGACGTCAAGCAACTCGCTGTAAAGATTCAGGGTGACATCACCACCGATCTGCTTGGGGACGCAAACGCTGACGTGCGGTACTTCAACCTGTACCTGGGCGCCGACATGCTGGAAACGCAGCAGGGGCCGGAAGAGGACAGGCGTGTGCGGTTCGTTCTCCGTGAGGCCATCGTGACGAGCCCGTCGCAACCGCAAGGCGGTACGTGTGCTGCATTTGTCTCTATTGAGGTTTTCCGGTCTCATTTTTGTTTTGAATTTGATGATTTTGTTTCTAGGTAGCATCATTCCGCACGATCCACCGTGTCGTACCACAAGAAAAATAACAACTGTAAACCAGGCATTGTTCCTTCGGTTTCGCACAAAGTGCTGGTCGTATCCGCCGTGGATTTCTTTGCGTTGGCGAAGCCGTTGTTTCAATTTTTGGAATGGGATTGCCCGGCCGAGTGCTTCGTGGTGGTGTTGGGCAGCCAGTTTGAGCTCGGCGGGCACGAGACTATTGGGCAAGACACGCTCGCGCTCGACGAGCGGGCTTACCTTTCCTGGCTCAAGAAGCACGTGTACATGTTCAGCGACCGCGTCCGCTTCGCGCTGCTCAGCGCAGACTACCGGTCTCACCTCCTGGAGTGGATGGGCAGTCAGCGGCTCTCCTACAATCTGCCGGAGGAAGTTCAGACCCGGGCCCTGCTGGTGTCGAACCAGTACAACGAGCACATCGGAAGCGAACAACCCGCAGCACCGACACTAAGCCCCTACGACGTGCTTGCGCTGCTGGAGTCGCAGGTCGAGGCCCTCTGGCTGGGGCGGCAACTCCAGAAAATCAGTGCTTACCAGGAGGAAGGAGCCGACACATCGTTCGAAGTCATATCGCTCAGCGAGGGGGTCTCCTCCGCTGTGGCCTTTATAGCAGTGGGCGGGGAGTGGACGTGGCCTCCCGACGACAATGAAGGTGTGGATCGCGACGTCGCCATCAACAAGCATCATGAAAGCTGCACGAAGAAAAATTTGGACGAAAATTTTACAGCATTAATGAAGGTGCTGGACAGCTACAAGCAGAACCAGGACGACGGTGACGCCACAACCGGCGACGCCAGCGGCGGCACCGCGACCGGCGACAGCGGGACCGGCGGCACCGGCAGCACCGGGACCGGCGACGCCAGCGGCGGCGGGGACCAGGGTGCCAGCGACGCAGCCGGTACTGCTACGAGTTTTACTACACTAAAAGCTGAAGTCAACGATGAAATAAAGGAGGACGAGCGGAAAAATTTCTGCAAGCGCCTCTTTTCGTGCGTGTACGATGGCGCCGAGCCGAAGAGCCTGATCCCGCTGTGTTTCTTCCCCCTTGACCCCGTCACGGTGCACATCCCGGACACGAAGGTACTGAGTGTGGTGGCACCATCGCCGGACTCTGACCAGAGCAGCGAACCGCACCAACTCGTTGCCGTGCTGAGCGACCACGAAGGATCGCAGCACCAGAACATGTGCCATGTGTATGAGCCACCTAGGGCCGTGCTCACCGCGGGATGGGACGAGAAGACGACCGTACACGGCCTTGTGCTCCACCCGGATCACTGTGATGCGACGAGTACTACATGTACTATCGTGACGGAACACGGCCAGTTCATCGAAGCTCCAACGACCAACATTCGATGGACTAAAAGGGAGGAGGGGAGGGCGTCTCTCTTCTCGGACGACACTGTCAAGAATCTATCCCGCGTAAAAATGTTCCCACGGGATCAACGGCCACAGTATGTATAGTATGAGCATTCATGCCTAAGTACAAGTTCCTATCTAATCCTATACTCTCTCCCGAGTAGTGGTTTGTCGTGCGAGATGAAGCAGAACTTTTCTGCCATGCCTGCTCACGCTCGGTAATGTCAACATCAAATTTTCTTTACGAAAAAAAAAAGTCAATTCTTTAGGTGCGTAGAAAAAGACGCCCTCAAACGATCGCCGCTGCGTTGTCAGGGGCATCTACTTATTTTTTTCAGGAGGTCGCTTGTACTTTTGTGATACAGTGCCGAAGAAGCTTCCTTTCATTTTGATGGTAATATACGTACTTCACGTGCCTGCGGCTTTCGATTCTTCATCGCGCGGCGAAAGTCGCAGGCACGTGGAGCGAGTTTGCAGATCAAGTAAAATCGTGTGATGTAGTTTGGCCAAATAATATGTGGGGGGAACAAAGTTTTGCGGAAGGATACGTTTTGATAATGCACCTCTCAGACCATGATTTGGCTGAATTCGTGAAGCACGACCCAGCGGACAACCCTTTGTTCAACTCCGCCGGCGTTAAGAAGCCATTAATGAACACAGCGACCGCCCGGCGTGTTGGGGACGAGCCGCACCAGGCCGTCCGTGGGAAGAAGGAGCCTCCACCGACGAAGAAGTTCTCGTCGTGGCGTTTCTGGGTGATCGTGGTTTGTCTGTGCCTGGTCCCGCTGCTAGTCACGGCGGTCGTGGTGTACCTGCTCTGCTTTCACAAGAAGGAGGACCAGGAGGAGGAGGTTCTCGGAAATACGAATCCCCCCGCCGGCACGGACCGGACGGGCAAGAGCCTGCGTTTGGAAGAATTTCTTGCCGGGAAGAACCTATCGAGTACTAAAGCGGAGGGGGACGACAGCGACAGCTCCGAGGACGATGGAACAAAGCCTCCGAAGTCGGTGGCGGAGCTGGAGCGGGACCTTTTGGAGGCGGGTCTCGGGGGGAAGTACGCCCGGGAACTGGCACAGTGGATATTTGACCAGCAGAAGCAGGCCGAGGACCAAAAAGCGGGAACTTTTGTGGCGACCGCGTCTACACCGCTGTACTCGGCCATGCCGACGCCCTCGGACGCAGGGGATGTGGAATTCTACAGCGCCATCTTCGGGCAAATGGAGTCCGCCACTATGGGTGCGGGACACCACAGTGTGAAGGCTGTGAAAAGTGCCCTTCGGCGGGCGAAAAAGAAAGCAAAGGGCAAAGCGGCACCGAAGAGAAAGGTTCAGTCGGTGACGAAGCTGCGCGGATCGTCGAGGAAAATTACCAATGAGGACGTTCCGGTCGCGACGTTTTTGTCAACGCAGCAAAGGATATGATAGTGGACAACTCTCTTCCCCTTCCCTCGCGTTCTTGTATTGCAACACAGCAAAAGCGCAAAATTCTAAGACAAATTGAATACATATACAATTCTATCCCTGTAGCCTTCGGGAAGTATGTGCAGTTGCATAAAGACAACTTCATTTGGAGGCCCAAATAGCAGTACTAAAGTATCGTGTATAAAAAGGAGCTGCAAAAATTTTCAGGAACAGGATGCTTTTGACTCTGCCCATGCGCTTTAACATCGACAAATGGGGAGGGAGTCGTGCACTATCATAAAGGCAGGTGCCCGGCGAGAGCGGTCTCCAGTCCGGCACAGGCTCCGCGGCCGAGCTAGGTAGTGCGGAGCAGGTCCGTGCACTTGGAGGGTTTGCGCCTGGAGTGCGGCGCGGGGCATCTCGCTCAGGTGCCGCAGCCTCGGCGAAAAAAGGAGCCCTTGGCGCTGCAGGTCCAAAGTCCTCAGGAGCTGCCAGCAGTACCGTACAACCGAAGTCAGGTGGCAGCTCAGGACGCAGCAGCAGCAAACCAAAGTCGGGCCAAGCTTCACGAGACAGCAGCAAACCCAAGTCTTCAGGACCAGCACATCAAGACAGCGGCATCCTGGCAACGTCAGGAGGGTCTAAATTCATGTCAATGGCGAAAGCCAAACTTCAAGGTCGACCAGAGGGGTCGGCGGCAGACGCCCACTCAATATTGTCCGACGAGGTCCTCATTGTGTCCGGGGACCAATCCTCTGCGTCCGCAAGCGAAGAAGTACCGCAACCAAGCTTCGCTGATCGCCAGCAGGAACGGAACCAGCGCATTGTCGAGGAGGCGCGACAGTCACGGCAGCGCGTGGCGACTGAGGGTGAGGCGGAGAGCCTCCGCCAGGCGGCACATTTCTCGCTGTACACTAGGGCCGAAGTAGAGAGCGAGGGAAGAGAGGATGCTGCTGAGGAGCTGTAGAATCAAGAAAAGCAGCTCTCAAACTCATCTTGCTCTTCCTGCTTCGGCTTGGTATGTTGAAAGTGAATTCTAGTTGTTTCTCCGCCGTGGTTTTGAAATCTGAAATCACGACGAAGGAGAAACAAAGATGGCATCTTCACGTTTAAGTAGTTTTTTTTTTTCGTATTGTTCCTGTTAGTTTTTCCGCTACTGTATGTCTTGTCAATTGAGCCTTTTTATTTTTTGTACTCGTTTTTCTTTTTGTATTTGTGCGCATACGAACCCATTTCACAGCTGCTCGCCCGCAATCGCAAATCGAGCTCAGGCCATTTCCTTGCGGAACACGGCATTCGAAGGAGATGAAAACTTCCAGATTGCAACGCTCATTGATTTGAATTTGATTTGTGGCCGCACATGCTGCATGTAAAATATTCCACGCTCTTCCTCGCGCTCTTGCTTCGTAGACGACAAAGACAAGCTAAAATAGCATGGGGATGATGCTGAGTTACCCGAATCTTCAATATCGCCCCCAAAACTTGCTAGCACAAAAGAAGACCCCTGAAATTAGATTTGGACACCAAACCCATTAGATCCCCTGAAATTGCATTTCTAAACAAGTAAAGCTTTGTTTCAAGAAGTTTTTGCCATCCATTTTTAAATAGCGCTGCCTGTATTTCAATGAAAAACCAGCGACCTGCATAAGTCAAATCGAATCGTGTTCCGTATGTTTTCATGGAGTTCGAAGTGTCCGAAGGCTTTTGGCCGGCATGTTTTTCTTGTACTGCGGTAAAAGAAAAGAAACTACGTAGAACCTTAGGACAAGTCGACCGAGAAAACAACCGAAGATCCGTTTTCGTGTGGCTTTCGCTCTCAAATAAGAGTACCATCCGCCCGCGATTACTTTGCGCAGGCACTGAAGTCGTGTCGGTGCGATCATGATGGATGATTTTGCTTCGGATACCAGCTGCTGGGTGCGGATCCGGATCATTTTTTCTAGTGCCGAGTACTAGCTGTCCCAGCAGCACAACATAATAATGCATCCACACCAGAACAGCACTAGCGGAGCTGGTGGACAACCTCCTCCGGGATTCGCTCCGCCTCCGGGATACCACCAGCAAGGATTTTTGCAGGCGAACGTCGCCCGTGGCACAAACGCGATGTTGCCGCAGCAGGTTCCACCAGGAGCTCTGCAACCGGGTGGCGCTTTTCATCAAGCGGTCGGGCAATACCAGCAGCCCAGCAGCAAAACCGGCGGCGCCAAGAATAGTAAACGCCATGCAGGTGCAGGTGCTGCTGCTCGCCCTGGCGGTGCCGTACCTGCAGCTGGTGTTCCACCGCAACATCTCCCGATTGGAGCTTTCGGCGGACCGGGGGTGCCGCCTGCGCCCGGGTCCCACCAGCAGCAGTTGTTTGCGCCGCAGCCAGGCGGCGGCGGGGCACCGGCACCTTCAGGAGCAGCTTCTTCATCTTCCAAAACTGCAACTAACGGACAAAATAAAGTGAACGCAAGCCCGCCGATGCCCCCACCGCCACGTTTTGTGCATCACCAGTGGCAGCTACTGCACGACCCGCATGTGAAAGACTGCGCGCAGTACTTGAGCCAGTACCACGGCTACAAGGTCACGCCCCCCGAGCCGCGAGACAGTGAGCACATGAGCCGCTTGTCCCCCCGCCTCGAGGGGTACGAGAAGTTGATGGCTATGATTCATGGGGAGCAGCCACCCCCCGGCGTGCAGCTGTTCTCCTCGTCCTCCAGTAGTGGCGCTTTGCTGGAGAAAAACCTAGACACCGGCGACGGCAGCTTCGTGAACTACAGCCCCAATGACGATTGCGCCTACCAGCTAAAAGAGGAGCTGCTGCTGCTCTGCGCACCGATTTACGCGCACCTGCTGATCGAGTGGAAAGACCGCCATCCGCACTACTTGTACAGCGAGTTTGTGCAATTGTCGCACATGCAACTACTGCAACGAAATGCGAATATGGCTTCGGGTGGAGCATCGAATAGGAGGCATATGAAGGGCGGGGCTGCGGGACTGAACAGCGTTTATCCGCTGGATCCCGCGCAGCGCGAGACTTTCGCGCGAGCTTACGCCACGAAGTACGCGAACTTTGCGACAAATCTGCCCCAGAAAACTACGGATCGCAAAGACGATCTTTCACGATCGGAAGCAGAGGCAGCAGTCGGGGGCCCGGCCGAGCCCGATGATGCCATGGACATCGACGACGGCGACATGATGGCAGGTGTAGCAGAGGAGGACATAAAAGGGGGTGAGCAAGCCAAAAGTTCCGCAAGTGGGGAAAGGCTTGCACGTCCTTCTAGAAAGCGTCGAACTTTCGACGAAGAAAGGGCCACGACATCCTCGGCGCAGCTCGTAAACAATGAAGTCGACGCGGAGCGCACCCCCCTTGTTGACCTGGATGTTGGCAGAAGCACGGGAGGGGACCAGGTGTCGTTCGTGGCGAAAGAAGCGTGGTGGCGGTCGATCTACGAACGGGAGGAACGGGTGGACATCCGCGTGTCCTCGCTCGCCTACAACGTCTGGCGCAGCAAAATGCGCCGGTTTCCCTGGCTGATGGATATTTTTGTGCAGCGGGTGAATCTCACGATCGACACGTCCTGGGAGGAGGTGCCGACCTTTGGGGTCAAGCAGACGCTGGCGGCGCGCAGCTTCCTCCGGTCTGTGTCGGAACTAGCAGTGCAGCGCGCGAAACTGCTGGTGAATACGTACGCGGATCTTCACTTGCAAATCAAGATGGGTGCGCGGAACCACGTTTTCCACATGAAGCTTTCCAAGAAGATGCTTGCAGCCGAGGCGGGCGGTTACAGCGCTTTTGCGGCGGTCACTGGCGCGCAGCCGGCAAGAGATCATGGAACCAATCCTGGCGGGCCGCCTCTCGCCACCGGCATTGCAGGGCATCAACAGGGCGGTGGTTTTTTGGATCAGGACGAAAATAACGACAGGCAGGAGACAGCGTCCTCCGTTGCTGCAGGGAACGCAACATCTAACTCGAACGTCAGTGGCACTCGTGGGCCGGACAAGAAGCGACAGCGAAAAGCCGCTGCGGCGGCAGAAGCGTTGCTGAAAACCCAACAGGAGGCACAGCAGGATATGATGATGCAACAGCAAGAGCAACTGAACCAGGACGGGGAACAGCGGGAGAAGCAAACTGCAGGCGCGGGGCCGGGGGTGGATCTCCACAAGCTCGCTGCAAACGCAAACATCGGCGTCCCTACCGCACCGCCGGAAAAGCAGCCAATTTGGTCGAGCGAGAGTTTCCGCAAGAAGTGCAGCCTGAATCTTCCCTCGGCAAAACGCACAAAGAATTCGCATTTTCTGCCGCCAACGTACTGGAACCGGGTGTACAGGAGCTACCGCTACGCGTACAATGACACGCCGCAGCGAATCGAAAACGCGTCCAACACAGCAGCATTGCTCTTCAAGAATCCGACGCCGAGCAGTAGCAGTACCGGTGCGGCAGCGGGACATCTGCCAGGTGGTGTGGCAAGAACAGCCTTTGCCCCTGAAGGAGGACAACCGCCCCCGCGCACAGCTGCTGGGCCTTCGCATCTCGGCGGTCGACCTATGGTCGCACGGACCGTGCGCCTGCTGCCGCAGCTGTGGAGCCAAATTTCGTGCATGACCATGACCAGGGACTCCGTTGTCTTTGCAGGTACTGACGACGGTGTGTTCGGCTGGTGCGCCGGGTCGAGAAGCCAGAAGCTGTACAGCGACCCGGACTACGCGCTGGCTCAGGGCTGCACCACCTTTGCGGTGCAGTGCTGCCGGTCTTTTAGTGCCGGGCCCGACATGGACGACCTGCTTTTGGCCGGGTGCGCGGATGGCGTGCGATTGTGGAAAATCCCAACCAATGCGGGTGCGGCAAGTGGACTACCCGCATTCGGAATGCGAGGTAACAAGGGAACCCTTGGACATCATCAGCAAGCAGGCCTTGTTCCTTCCTCTGCGGCGGGAACAATATCGACGCCAGCGGAGCCTTCTGCCGCAGCTGGTGCTCCCCCGATTTCGAATGCCGGGCCGTTGTCCGGCGGTGCCACACGGGGCAGCGTGGCGCCCCAAGTCGAACTTTTGTCGCACGCGAGCTACCGGAAAACCTGCTGGTGCGTGGATGCGGCCTGGTATGGAAATTACTTCGTTTCCGGGCACCGCGGCGTCGCGTTTCTGTGGGATATGGAGGTGCAGACGGACCTCCACGCCTGCCGCATCGTTGGAGACGACATCGACGACATGGGGAGCATGCTTCCCGCACAGTTTGCCGGTACGCAGCCGCAGAACCTGCAGCAGCGGGGGCTCTCCGCCGACGTCTTTCCGGCCTCGCTGAAAATGGCGAGCGCCCCAGGGGGTAAAAGTAGTTTTTTCAACAACGGCGCTGCTGATGGGCTCTCCTCGAACAGAACCGCATCGGGCAAAAATCCTACCTGTTTGGACTTCCACTGCGTGAAGTTCCACCCGACAACTGAGTTTTTCGCTGCCGGCGTCGGGTCCCGGGCGCTTCACTTGTACGACCTCGGCCGAAGCGGCCGGTTGGTCCGCGCAATCCCGACACCGGACCTGGTTGCAAAGCTCGCTTTCAGCATGGACGGGCTGCATTGTTACACGGCCATGCGTAACGGGAGCGTATGCGTGTACGACCTGCGCCAAGGCTTGTTGCTCGCCACCCGTGCGAATGTGATGTCGGAAATCTATTCGCTCGAAAGCTTCGGCATGCCCCGCAACGTGCTCGGCGTGGGCGGGAGCGACGGGTTTTGTTATCTGGATCTCGAAAACGCAGATCGGACGACGCATGCCTACGACTTCTTTCCAAACGCGGATCGAGACAATGTCGTGCTCGAGGCGAGGTTTGACTTTTTTCTCGACGGAATCACGCTTGCATGCGCGCAAGTGCAGTGATGTAACCTCATCATTCATCGAGACACGCGACATTTAATGACTACTCGTATTAAAGTCAAATAATAGCAATAGCTACCGTCCAGCAATGCGATGTACTTAATTGTAAAAACCAACGCCAAGCGCAAGCGCAATAACAAGCCGAACAAAGACAAACACAAATCGCCTAAGGCCATAATCCTTCCTTGGAACCTGCTCTTTTTCTGAAAGGAACTCACCATCTTTACATTGCGATGATCTTTTTTCTCGGGTGTTCACTTTTTTTTTGTTGTTTACATTATTCAAGTGGATGATTTGAAGGAAAAAAAAACAAATGAAAACAGAAACAGCAGAACAGTTTTTGCTTTTCGACGTGCTAGAAACCAAAGAAAACGATCCACTTATCCGCTTTGTTTTTTCTGTGGATCCTCACATAATGTCCTTTCGATGAGGCACCAGCGGATCCGCACAAGGAGCTTCCGCGTCAAAGACGTACATCTTCTTTCTCGCTTTCATTCCTTTGAGGACGACTCAAACTGGTGTTTTCACGAGCACTTCTTTGACTTTCTCTGCCTGTAACATTCATTCTGCTTCTTGCTTTCTTCCGCTGTTACGACATTCTGAAGCAGATATCTACTTGTCACATCACCACATCTGAAGTATCGCGAAAGCGCATAAAAATCAAAGAACGATGAAGACGAGAACAACATGAAACTTTTATGCTTTCTCGGGCCGCCCGCATCCGGTAAAGGCAGTTACACGAAGCTTGTGCTCGAAACCCTCAAAAGGGTCGCGGCAAGGAGAGACCCTACCTCGCAGTGGCACCACAGCGGGGCAGCGGAGCACGTTTTGGCGAAAGATGCAGAAGGCCAAGTTCTTAAGTCGAGCGGTTTCCAACATCATCCAAGCGCGAGGCTTTACAGGCACCATAATCTTCCTGTCCAACACTTCGAAAAGGTTGTCGCCTCGGACCTTATCAAGAAGGAGATGCGTGAGCAAACGGTCTTTGGCAAAGAGATGCAACCCTACATGGAACGCCACGAGCACGTATCAAATGTAAAAATGTCTGGGTCTGGAAGATTTCTAGGTTTGTCATGCATATTTTCCATGACCCATGATGTCTGTGATGCATGCCGCAGCATCACAGATTTTTAGAGCGCTTTGTGATGCCTCCACAGCATCAGAAATGACCTCTCCGCGTAGCACAAACTGGAGTCCTCTTGCTGGTCATGCAATACAAATTTTCTCAGAATCCAGAGACAGCAGCACAAGTTGCAATCTTCCAGACCCAGACATTTTTGCATTTGATAGCACGTTCCCAGTGAGCTGATGGTGGAGACGCTGTGTGCGCACCTCGAAGAAATGGCCGCGCAGAGGAGAGGAGGTTCTTCACTTGAGAAAGATAAAAGTGTCATCAACCACCTCAACGTTTTGCTCGACGGTTTTCCTAGATCTGTGGACCAGGCAGAAGCGTTTCTAGCCAAGACGAAGAGGAGGCGACGGCTTGTTTCCGATCAGGAATTAGACGGAGAGATGGACGCCAACCCGCGTGGGGAATCTCGTCTTTCCCTTCGTTTTCTGCATCTCGATCTGAAGCGCGAGTGGGCCCGGGCAAAGGCGGTTGGGCGACTGGTCTGTCCGGATTGCGATTTTCCGTACAACGACGCAGAGGTACGATTGGACGCAGTAGATACAGCGAGTCAACAAAATCTTGCTCGCGCGCTTGAAGAGGACATTTATGATTATGACACTCCCTACACTGACACGCGAGAAGAAAAAGCAAGAAAGCGGGACAAGCAAGAAGAACGGCGCGTGTGGTCTGCCGACTTGCCGCCGGAACCCAAATGTGGGCGGAAACCTGGATGCGGCTACCCAAACAGCCTGATCCGTCGTGACAGTGCGGAGGTGTTTGACCACCGGTATGAAATCTATCTGAAAACCGAATTTCCGGTGGTGGAGTACTTCACCACGATGGCTGAGGCAGAGAAGCAGGAACTTGTAAATCGAAGCCGCAGAAAAATAGGAGCAGATGCAACAGATTTGAAAAATATGACCTCTACTGAGAATTGTCGTGATAGTAGCACTAGCACGAAAATCTCTTCCGTGAAAATGACCGGCGGGTATCGGACGATGTGTGATGCGATTGTGAAAGAGGTGATGCATCTGCTTGATCTCGACCGTGACGAAAGTTGTAGCAACGAAACGGTTTATCCTCTGGAAGAAGTGCAGAAAGAAGCCCATCTTGTGCTTGACGAGTGGGAGCAATAGCATAATTCAGCAGTATTAGCAGCCTATGTAGCAAATAAGTAGTTGTAGATATGTATGTTTTGTATAATTCACCACATGATCTTAGTTAGTTGTTGTGTATAAAGATGTGCTGTTCATATCGTCCTCTCCGTCCTCGTGCGCCAGACGTGATGAAGACCAAAGAACACCATCGCCACCATGCGCCACAGGGGCAAGAGCAAAGATTCTTCATATCTCGGAAAACAGGATGTTAGCATCATTTATGAGATTCAGTCGGTTTTTCATTGCTACTACCTCGCATGGCAAGTCGGTTTTGCTTTATTGCTCACATTAAAAAAAAAAAGTCGGTGCCCTCGACTCCTGCGACGCTGCAGGACAACTACCTCTACAAAACTTTTTCGGTTGGACCTCATTGGTTGAAAACCAAAAATTACGAAGATCTTCAATAGCCTCGCAAAGTCGGTTGTGGTTCTGGGAAAGCTGCAGCTCCGCGATGTCAAGCCTTTCGGATTTTAAAATTAGACCGAGATGGAGGTCGGTCGCGTCAAAGAAATGCTCGATCTGTGCTGTGAAATCCAAGATCTAACACAATAACAATTCTTTTTTGCAAAAATTCAAATGCCTAAAAGTAAAGCTTTTGCAAGACGAGGAGTATTTGTATTTCAATACAAACGAAACCAAAAAATCCATTCTAAATTACGATGACCATCTTGATCTTCGCCGAAATTCTTTGTAATGATTGCAAACAGGTTGTGGAGAGCGAATTTTAGCCTGTAGTTTTGACGACTTTACCACTTCCTACTCCAAGCTCGTCCAGCAAGAGACCGTCAAAAGTTAAATTTTTTCGATATTTTTTACTTCGGCACATTCATAGCTATGCGTAGGGAAGTAACGTCGTAGGCCACTTGGAGCACGAGCAATCAGTACAGCACCGGGTTTGCCGCGGTCTGTACGCTCAAAGTTTCCTTTTAGTCAGAGTAAACGTTGTTTGCGGGCTGAGGTTGATAGTTATTCAGAGTTTGAACCCCTAAGCGCCCCGACCTCAAACAATAACGTTTTTCACGGCTCCTGGTACTTACAGCAATTTACCGATAGCCGCGGCGTGTTTGTGTTTTAGCGTGAAACGATATACAGCAACCTTCAACAAACCTCCAATAATCATCTTCTTACACTTACTCTGATTTAAATCCTTGAATACTCTCGATTAGAAATCGCGGAGAATAATAAAAACAAAGAGTCGATCCAGCAGCCGTAATTATTTTTAATCTCCGGGCCAGCAGACGAATTTGAGAAGACAGCAGGGCGGATTGACGACCGCCCGATCCCGGAGGAAGATCGACGACTTCGCTGCTGTAGCAGGGACGTGGTTGAAGTACTAGAGCCTTAAAAGTCATCTCCTCGTTCCGCCCAAGATGTCGGTGATGGATTTCCGAGACGAGGTGATCCAGCTGACTCCGTCAGGCGTGAAGTACAAGGTGTGCGGCAGGCTAGGGCGCGGCGGCAGTGCAGACGTGTTTAAGGTGCAATGCTTGTACATCCCAGACGCGTTTAAGCAGACCCAGGCGCAGCGCGTGCAGGTGTTGGAGGAGCAGCTGCTGTCGAACGCCGGAAAACTGACCTACCTCACCCCGCCCTCGGGCGCCGGCTCCAGCACGGTCTCCGGCGGCAGCACCAGCGCCACCGGGGGGGCGCAGAAGCCGCAGCAGATGCAAACCCTAGGGATGGCCACGAGCAGCTCCAGCAGCTCGATGCAGCCGCCCATCCTGCCTGCGGTATCCTTGATAGCCAACGACAAGCACCCCGAGCTGTCGGGGACGGGCAGAAATCAGATCGTGAAGCGCAGGCTCTCCGACCTGGTGGAGGAGGGCAACGAGGACTACAACAACGTTTTCGACGAGAACGACAATCCGAGCGGGTCCGACCTCAACACGGCCGCCGCCTTGCAAGCCCTGCGCGGCAGTGCGGAGGGCCGGGAAGGCTCGGCGCGGAGAAACAGCACTCGGTCGTCTGCGGCCGAGATGGAACAAAATAGTACAAGTAGCGGCACGGGCGGGGCGGGCAGCGGTTCCGGGGGTGCGCCCGGGAGTGGCGGCCATCCGAGGTCGCGGTCCGGCGAAGTCGTGCAGTACAGCACATATCAAACAAAAAAAGTTCGTCACGATCACTCATGCGCATTTTTGCAATGCAAAACTCTCCGTCATGCGTAAAAATGCATCACAGCCAAACTTCATAAGGGATTTCCCTAGTGTTTCTGCAATACAAAGAAAAGCTGTCGTGATGCTGAAAAAATTTGTAATGCAAAACCTGCAAGGTAGTGACTGTGACAAACTTTTTTCTCTCCATAGCACGCCCGGATCCTACAGTGGACTCAACCAGGTGGGCGAGGAAGTGGTGTCTATCAAAAGGAAAAATCCCCCCTCCCCACATCAAAACGAAATTTCTGATGCTGGATTTGAGTACACAAATCAGGTTTGTATTGCAGGAAAGCATTGCAGTCAGGTCCCCAGGCTAGGTAGGGGCGTATGCGTTTAGTTGTTCAGCATGGCAAGCAGCTCCCTTCTAGGCCCAAGAGCATGACAAATCGCTTCCATAGTGGGGCGGAAGCTTCTGCCCTTGTCTTCTTGCAATACAAATGCGATTTTCGACCTCAAATCACCTCCAGGGCTACGTGCGACCCCTCCGACGCTGCGTGTGGAAGGAGGAAGTTCGGCGTGTCGGGTGAGGGACCCCCGACGGCTGGCCTACGGATATCAGGTGGATCACAGGCTCAAATCAGCAACACAAATTTTCGGAAACATACCTTTTCGATATGGGGAGGGGGGATTTTTGCTTTTGATAGTCTCCAACCCGAGGTCGCGGTCCAACTCCCCGGATGCGCGCCCGCGACAACCGGCCGAGGCACAGACGATCCAGAGCGCGGAGGGGATTGCGACGCCGGACTGGTACCAGGCACCCGGAAGCAACGCGCAGTCTCTGGCCCCAAACGCCATAGCAGGCAGTATTAACGTGGCAACATCGCTCGCACCCGGGTCGGGCCCGGGCAGCGGCATGAACAAGACAAATTCAAACAGCGACGCCGGGACGCAGAAAGAGGGCAGCGTGCACCCGGCTATCTACGACCCGCATTTGTTGGAGAACTACCAGATTCCGATGTTGGAGGAGGGCAAGTTTTACGCGTTGAAGTCCGTGATGGCCCACAATGCAGCGGAGTTCCAGGTCTTCCTGCGGGAGGTGGACCTGTTGCAGAAGCTGGCGGGGAACCCCTACGTCATCCACTTACTCGATGTCACCGTGTTGGAACAGGATAGACAGGTAGTGAGTCAGGCTTATTATGTAAAAACTGAATTGTGCGAGAACAAGTGCGCGCAAGGGGTGAAAATTGTATGCTTGATGAAGATTTTGTACGCAAACAAATCAAAAATGACTTGAAAACGAATTGAATCTGAAGTCTTCCAAAATTACAACAGCTCTTCTTGGTACTCGAGCTTGCAGACACAGATTTCGGGCGGTATCTGACCCTGAACCATAATCTGACCGCGCAACAAATATTGGACTTCTGGGTGCAGATGGTGATCGCCGTCAGAACAATGCACCGAGACCACGACGTCATCCATTTTGACTTGAAGCCAGCGAATTTTTTGATGGTACAATTTTGAATGTCAATGTCTACGGTCTTCTTTATTGAGAATGTGTCAAAGCGAATCCGATTAATCATTAGCAATACAGGGCAATGTGCGTTTTCTCGCACACAGTGTGCGTTTTCTCGCACATCAGTAGCAAAGAAAAGTAGCACATAAAACGAAAACTTCTCATAATTGGTCACCACAGGTAAATGGGCGGCTCAAGCTGGCGGATTTCGGTCTTGCGCGGCAGCTGGGCGACGAGGCCACGCACGTCTCTAGGACAAACCGCGCGGGCACACTGAAATACATGGCCCCTGAGTGTATCTATCAGCCGCACGCGCAGAAGTTGCGACTGGGCAAGGAGTCGGACGTATGGTCTCTGGGGATTATCCTGTGTCGAATGATTTACAACACAACACCGCACGCACACTTGCAGGACAACCACACAAGAATGCTCATCGCCATTTCCGACACCAGAACAAAGATCAATCTGGTGGACTGCCCACGACTTTACCTTAGGGACGACGGAGTGACGGACCAGAATATGCGAGAGGTATAATGTCCGTGTTTGCTTTCACCAGACCAACGGCAACGAACTCAAACTATTCATTGTAGTGATGAAAATAACAAGGTCTTGTTCATTTTCTGCAGTTGAAGTTGTATACAACCAGGATACTTGTTTGGCTGTGCAAAATACCCTAGCAAACCGCATTTTGTTTGCACATGATTTTTTGTATGCCTTCCACTTTTCCACCCGATCCCTCACTAGGTCCATGATTGGATGATGAACGTGGCCCGGGGGTGCCTGATTTTCGAGCCGCACGCGCGGTTCAACTCTGAGGACCTGTACATGATCCTGAACCGCGCCAAGTTTCCGACCGTGGCCATCATCGCGATGCTCCGCGACAAGACCGACCAGTACACGGTACTGGATGCCATTCCGGAGTCCGAGGGCGGTGTGTACGGGGCGATGGGACCCTCGGCGATCCCGCGGAAGCGGGACCCCCACTTTCGCGAGAAGGACGACGACGAGGGGACCAAGCAGTTCGGCCCCACCGGCATGTTCGACGATGCCAAAACCATGCGGGCATTACAAGAATTAGCTGCTGAGTATTGAAGATTTTTGATGTTTGTACGTTGCACCCAAGAACTCGTCTGTAGTTTTTCATCATCCATGGCTTGCCATCTTGCATGTCGAGATTCATCTTCCATGGACGACGCATGATCTTTGCTGTATATGAATATTATCGACGTGATTTTTCCCTGGACACCGACATTGTTGATATTGTCACACACTACACATCTACAGGGATTTGGATCTTGAGAAACAGGGTCTCCTGGAGGATATCGAAGAGGACGGGGAATACGACAGCGACCTATCAAATGTAAAAATGTCTGGGTCTGGAAACTTGTAATGCTGAGTGACGTAGCATGAGGAACCCACAAATGACGGCCCAGCATGACAAGTTTCTGAACTTCTAAGTGTTGCCTATTCTGCATGACAAAGTACGACTCTGCATCACAGAAAAAAAAGGTTTTTGGGTAACGCGCATGACAGACTTGAGAGTCCTGCTGGCCTAGCATGACAAACCTTGCATTTTTCCAGACCCAGACATTTTTTGCATTGGATACGACCTGGATACAGACGACGAGCTTCTGTCGGAGGATATGCATTGCAAAAGTATCGTACTAGTATGAATCGCAATACAAATTTTCCCAGAAGGAAAAATGGAATTTGTAATGCTGATTTCGCTAAGAAACANGACCGGTTCTTCCATATCAAAGTGAAAAAAGCCCCCACCCCATATCGGAAACAGAAGATGCGCGAATTTGTGATGCTGTATTTGAGTACACAAATCAGGTTTGTATTGCAGGAAAGCATTGCAGTCAGGTCCCCAGGCTAGGTAGGGGCGTATGCGTTTAGTTGTTCAGCATGGCAAGCAGCTCCCTTCTAGGCCCAAGAGCATGACAAATCGCTTCCATAGTGGGGCGGAAGCTTCTGCCCTTGTCTTCTTGCAATACAAATGCGATTTTCGACCTCAAATCACCTCCAGGGCTACGTGCGACCCCTCCGACGCTGCGTGTGGAAGGAGGAAGTTCGGCGTGTCGGGTGAGGGACCCCCGACGGCTGGCCTACGGATATCAGGTGGATCACAGGCTCAAATCAGCAACACAAATTTTCGGAAACATACCTTTTCGATATGGGGAGGGGGGATTTTTGCTTTTGATAGTCTCCAACCCGAGGTCGCGGTCCAACTCCCCGGATGCGCGCCCGCGACAACCGGCCGAGGCACAGACGATCCAGAGCGCGGAGGGGATTGCGACGCCGGACTGGTACCAGGCACCCGGAAGCAACGCGCAGTCTCTGGCCCCAAACGCCATAGCAGGCAGTATTAACGTGGCAACATCGCTCGCACCCGGGTCGGGCCCGGGCAGCGGCATGAACAAGACAAATTCAAACAGCGACGCCGGGACGCAGAAAGAGGGCAGCGTGCACCCGGCTATCTACGACCCGCATTTGTTGGAGAACTACCAGATTCCGATGTTGGAGGAGGGCAAGTTTTACGCGTTGAAGTCCGTGATGGCCCACAATGCAGCGGAGTTCCAGGTCTTCCTGCGGGAGGTGGACCTGTTGCAGAAGCTGGCGGGGAACCCCTACGTCATCCACTTACTCGATGTCACCGTGTTGGAACAGGATAGACAGGTAGTGAGTCAGGCTTATTATGTAAAAACTGAATTGTGCGAGAACAAGTGCGCGCAAGGGGTGAAAATTGTATGCTTGATGAAGATTTTGTACGCAAACAAATCAAAAATGACTTGAAAACGAATTGAATCTGAAGTCTTCCAAAATTACAACAGCTCTTCTTGGTACTCGAGCTTGCAGACACAGATTTCGGGCGGTATCTGACCCTGAACCATAATCTGACCGCGCAACAAATATTGGACTTCTGGGTGCAGATGGTGATCGCCGTCAGAACAATGCACCGAGACCACGACGTCATCCATTTTGACTTGAAGCCAGCGAATTTTTTGATGGTACAATTTTGAATGTCAATGTCTACGGTCTTCTTTATTGAGAATGTGTCAAAGCGAATCCGATTAATCATTAGCAATACAGGGCAATGTGCGTTTTCTCGCACACAGTGTGCGTTTTCTCGCACATCAGTAGCAAAGAAAAGTAGCACATAAAACGAAAACTTCTCATAATTGGTCACCACAGGTAAATGGGCGGCTCAAGCTGGCGGATTTCGGTCTTGCGCGGCAGCTGGGCGACGAGGCCACGCACGTCTCTAGGACAAACCGCGCGGGCACACTGAAATACATGGCCCCTGAGTGTATCTATCAGCCGCACGCGCAGAAGTTGCGACTGGGCAAGGAGTCGGACGTATGGTCTCTGGGGATTATCCTGTGTCGAATGATTTACAACACAACACCGCACGCACACTTGCAGGACAACCACACAAGAATGCTCATCGCCATTTCCGACACCAGAACAAAGATCAATCTGGTGGACTGCCCACGACTTTACCTTAGGGACGACGGAGTGACGGACCAGAATATGCGAGAGGTATAATGTCCGTGTTTGCTTTCACCAGACCAACGGCAACGAACTCAAACTATTCATTGTAGTGATGAAAATAACAAGGTCTTGTTCATTTTCTGCAGTTGAAGTTGTATACAACCAGGATACTTGTTTGGCTGTGCAAAATACCCTAGCAAACCGCATTTTGTTTGCACATGATTTTTTGTATGCCTTCCACTTTTCCACCCGATCCCTCACTAGGTCCATGATTGGATGATGAACGTGGCCCGGGGGTGCCTGATTTTCGAGCCGCACGCGCGGTTCAACTCTGAGGACCTGTACATGATCCTGAACCGCGCCAAGTTTCCGACCGTGGCCATCATCGCGATGCTCCGCGACAAGACCGACCAGTACACGGTACTGGATGCCATTCCGGAGTCCGAGGGCGGTGTGTACGGGGCGATGGGACCCTCGGCGATCCCGCGGAAGCGGGACCCCCACTTTCGCGAGAAGGACGACGACGAGGGGACCAAGCAGTTCGGCCCCACCGGCATGTTCGACGATGCCAAAACCATGCGGGCATTACAAGAATTAGCTGCTGAGTATTGAAGATTTTTGATGTTTGTACGTTGCACCCAAGAACTCGTCTGTAGTTTTTCATCATCCATGGCTTGCCATCTTGCATGTCGAGATTCATCTTCCATGGACGACGCATGATCTTTGCTGTATATGAATATTATCGACGTGATTTTTCCCTGGACACCGACATTGTTGATATTGTCACACACTACACATCTACAGGGATTTGGATCTTGAGAAACAGGGTCTCCTGGAGGATATCGAAGAGGACGGGGAATACGACAGCGACCTATCAAATGTAAAAATGTCTGGGTCTGGAAACTTGTAATGCTGAGTGACGTAGCATGAGGAACCCACAAATGACGGCCCAGCATGACAAGTTTCTGAACTTCTAAGTGTTGCCTATTCTGCATGACAAAGTACGACTCTGCATCACAGAAAAAAAAGGTTTTTGGGTAACGCGCATGACAGACTTGAGAGTCCTGCTGGCCTAGCATGACAAACCTTGCATTTTTCCAGACCCAGACATTTTTTGCATTGGATACGACCTGGATACAGACGACGAGCTTCTGTCGGAGGATATGCATTGCAAAAGTATCGTACTAGTATGAATCGCAATACAAATTTTCCCAGAAGGAAAAATGGAATTTGTAATGCTGATTTCGCTAAGAAACAAGATTTGTCATGCGTGGTTGCAATTAGTACGAGTGCGATACTTTTGCACAGGATAGAGGAGGAAGAAAAGCGAAACTCAAGCTGTATGACCATCCTCATTGTTCTCCTCTCTATCATCGTCGCAGGTCTCATCGGCTGCATCATCGCCGCGGTCATGCTGCATCAGAAGAGAATGCAGTCCTCCACGTAGTAAACTGTTGTACACAATGACTTTCCTGGGGGTTACCTACCACGACAACCACAAGCGACACAAAATAGAAGCAAGCACCTGTAGTTCTCATGAGTCATAAGTACATACATGAATCCACAGCGAGTTACCTAATCATGTTCTTGTTCCAATTATGTTCCTTTCGTACGAGTAGTTGAGTTCCTATCATACAATACGCCTTCGCACACGGTGCGAACTCCTTGTCTAATCATGATATATTTACATTCACTAGATGCGATCGCGCATACAAGCCAGTGAACTGTTCTTTTTTCTGTTTGACGATTGTGCTCTGACATGTTTGGCTTTTTCAAAATCTTTATCATCTTGACAAACGTGGTGGTGAAAATATTTAAGGCGAACTCAGGGCGGGCCTGTAAGGTCATGCTCCTCCGTGATGTTACTGTATAATGAAGCAAAGACCAAAGAGGTCGTGGGTTGCTACGAGTACAATGTACAGCCTGCTGTCGATCACATTGCTATGGTTTGAGTATACGATATTTCTATACAACTGAATTTGTGTACATGTTGGAGCAAAATTCTTGTCTCTCTCCGGAGACGACGACGCGACTGACAATATTAGATAATATTGAGCGATTTTGTCACAATCTGCTTCTGCGGCCAGAACCTTTTACTGGGACAGACATAGAAGATCGGGGATTTTGTGACTTTTCCAGGTTGTCGCTACACGGTATCTCACGACACGACGTTGCTGGCCATTGAAAGGAAAAGAACGCTATTCCCCGCACTGCTAGTCTCATTTTGGTTCGCGTTCAAGCAACGAACGGATGCTGCAGTTTCAACAGCAAGTTTTTACACGAGAAAAGACGGGCTGCGATGGAAAAGATCGTCGAAAAAAGAGGAGAAAGCGCTGCATGCTCCTGAGGGTTCCTCGACGGTGCCGAACTTGCGTGTTCAACATATCGCGCGCCGTGGTCTGTCCGCAAAAACGATGATATGTTCAGGATTGAAGATCCTCTGTGTGATGTTGATCACGTCATCTCAACAAGCGCTTCCTGGCAAAATCGATGTAATGTATGCGTGTTTTCGCTTTCGGTTTCGATTAGCGTACGGTACAGCTACAGGTATTCTTATTTCTTGTGCTTTTCGTGGATCCCTCCCTTTTATTTTCTGTTGCTTTTCGTTTTGCGCAATTCGCAAGTTCTACGAAAGTTCAGATGTTGTTTGTACAAGAACATCACAGTTTCGGTCGAGAATCTGCGCCGACGCAGCTGCATTGATCCACTCTCGAGATAGGTAGAAGAAAAAGTCGAGCACCAACTGGTGCTGCTCTAGAAATTCCTCACATTTCTTGCTTCTGTATCTTGTTCCTGTAGTTCTAGTTGGTAGGTTCTTTATTGGTGAAAAAATGTTTCGCAAGTTGAAAAGAATGAAGCGAATTTCGGTTTTGTTGCTTCTGTTTTCGCACAACGCGTACTTTTTCCAGCTCTGCGTCTGTTTGTACCAGGAGCTGTTTGAAGACTACTCTGGTGCCCCGAAAAAAACACGAAGCTCCACGTCCTCAACAGACAAAGGTACTACAGAAGAGGCGGACGCTTCGTCTTCTTGGCGTGCCAGCTTCAATGAGGAGCTGGAAAAGCTTGTGTACGTGGGAGAGATAGAGGATGGGTACAACGCCGCGATCTCCAAGCAGACACTTACGCGCGAGGCACGGGAAGTGCTTAAGGACTCAACGAAACACAGTCGGCACAAAGCGTTCTGGGACCGGTTCTTCCATATCAAAGTGAAAAAAGCCCCCACCCCATATCGGAAACAGAAGATGCGCGAATTTGTGATGCTGTATTTGAGTACACAAATCGACTTGTATTGCTAGAAGGCCAAGAGACGAAGCTGCGGCCTAAATGGCAGGTAATCTGTCATGCTGTTTCCCACTTCCAGTTGCCTCCTGTCATCCTGGAGCTGCAAGGCTTTCCCACGCTAGACAGCACTACAGTGCGCATCTTTTGCCTTCTGGCATCACAAAGGTGATTTGTGACCCCAAATCTGCATCACAGATTTCCGTTTTGATATGGGGAGGGGGCATTTTTCATTGTAATATTCCAGGAAGACACCTTGGTGAAACCAGACACGGCTCGGCAAAGCAGCACCCGGCAGGGCGGAGGTGAGGCCAGAAGAGCCGTGGACGGTAAGATGAATTTGTAACAGTAAAAATCGTAATTGATGTAATACAGAACCTAGACGACCTTACTGAGCGTAAGCAGGAAGATGGAGCGAGAAAGAAAAAAGAACCATTCTATTCATTTCCCTTCTCCAAAACCAAATCCCTTGGCTCTGTTGTGATCATCTTTTTCGCAAACGACTGAAGGGCGCAGCCTGTCCGATTGGTCCTCGCAATCTTGCACGCACACAAAGCCTGCGGGCGAGTTGCGGCCCTGGTGGATGGTGGAACTGGATGCGAACATTCCGATCGGCACCGTTCACATCCTGAATCGCAAAGAAGCGGCCGATATGCATTGCAAATACGTATTGGTCTGGACGAAAGATGGAGCATGTATTGTGTGTCTTCAGTCTTTATTTGCATGATTCCCCAAGAACCAGTTTTGTATGACAAGGAAAAGTAGGAGCGCCACTTTCTTGATCATGCAAAATAGACGAAGTCTGTATAAATGCGAAGCCCCCCGTGGGAAAATTGTCATGCTTTGACGCGCTAGAAATTTTTCTGAGACTCATTCATATACACTTCACAAAGTTCCAGACCCAGGAAAAAATACCCCATGCATAGCCGATCGACTGTCCGAGTTCGAGGTCCGGATTGGAAACGATCGAAATCTCGCGTTGGACAATTCCCATTCTTCAAGTGGGAGAAGTAGAGGCTCCTCCACCAGCACTTCTTCTGGAGCTTCTTACTCGGTCTGTCGCGGCGATTCCCGGAACCCCGGGCCGGGAGCCTGGGCGGTGGTGGACTGCAGTGGCTTTGAAGGGAAGTACCTCGCGGTCGTATTGACCGCAGACGATCCAAAGGCGGTGCTCACACTCTGTGAGGTATCTGTAAGTCGCAAAAATGTTGATGCAAGGTGTACTGTGTGGAGCTCGAAAGTGCTACTCTAGAAAGTGAGAAATTTAAAAGCGATATCAGACTCCAGCCTGTGGTGTGCCCGTTGTGCAACAGGTTTTTTCCCCTGACTATGATAATGGTGCCCGTGGTCGATTCTGCTTCTATGCTCCACACACCAGGTTCTTGTCTACCCGCAGTCGATTCGACATCACCCTTTCTTCCTTTCCGCTGCCCTGGCATTCGACGAGTATACGCAGATTTTGCGCAGCTCCAACGAGAAACGGGAAGCCTATTACGTCCTTGGGTTGGCGAAGTTAAGGCAGCTACTCAGACAGTTGTTCGCGCTCGAGAAGCTGAACGGCATGCAAGACGAGGAGAAGAGTGGCGGGATGAGAACAAGAAAACAAATTGCCACAAGTTCTTCGTCGAGGGTTAAGAACTCAGCGAACTGGATCGAGCAGGTCGAGGAACTGTACACAGCGCTATCGCTGGAACTGCCCACGGAATTTCGCCAGCGACCGGAGATACTGCGCATGCGCGCCGAACTGTACGCCGAGGTCGGTTTTTCGCCCTCCTGCGCAGAGGTTTTGCAGCACGGAGCAGGAGGAGCCTCCTCAGGCGGGGACTCGGCATCTGCCTTCGCAGGCACTGCGGACGGGTTGCCGGGACAGGAGGAGGGCGACGATTCCGCCCTGGACACAAGGTCCACCTCCGCCATCGCGACGCTGAAGGGCAAGGGGAAGTTGCACCAAAGGAAAGAGGCTGCGCTAGCAAAAGCAGCAAGCAATAATAAAGCGATAACGGCTTCTGGTGAAAAATTATCCAGTTCCTCAAGTAGTACCAGTTCTAGCTCAACAATTCCCCCCGCGGATCAGCTGGATGGAGCGACGAGTCCGGCGCAGAATAGCATCTGTTGCAAGGACAGCATTCTCGGGACGAACAGTGGGTGCCTGTCTACTGCCTTGGCCTTGTACAAGTTTGCGGAGAACTTGGAGGAGGAGGCGGATTTGCTATACGAGAAAGCAATCGAGCATATCCTGAGTAAAAACATCCCCACACCAGAGTCAAGATGGGGATTTTGCAACACAAACCTAGAACTTTTGGGGGTCACGCAATACAAGTTGCAGTCCGTAGTGTAGTGCAGGTTCGCAAGGCCAGCTGCATCAGAAATCCATCTGCTTATCCTGTTTACAGCATTACAAATTACAAAACACGACTAAAAATGCCTCTCCTGGCGATGCGCATTACAAATGTTCCTGTCATTGCAAATCTGCATGACAACTCCGTAGCCATTTTGGCTCAAGGCTCTGCCTTGTTGCCTGAGATCCTACAAATCTAGAATAGGGGGAGCTATGCCGTAGAGTAGATTTGATAGCTCACAATCATTTTACCACCACTGACACCACGTCGGTATCTCCCCCGACTCCCTGAAGAGGAGTTTCGAAAGAAGTAGATAAACACCCGAGCGTGGCGGGTCCGCTGTGCCCCCCTTTACAGTAGCCTACTAGATCTCAGGCCCCCCTATACACTAGCCGAGATCTCAGAACCAGCGCCCCGTGCTGCCGAGTACCCCTCCTAAAAATGACCTCCTCCCCGCCCGGACACGGCGCCTGAATCCTGCAGCAGTCGTCCACGCACCATCCTGCGCAGCAGCAAGGTCCTTGCTTAGCCTGACGGGCATGGGCAGCAACTTCTCCATGTTCGCGGCAGAACCGGAATACGAAATCAGACTGGGGCAGGAGTTCTGGGAAGGGTTAAGTCCACCATGCCGCCGGTGGATTAAGCAGCTCGGGTAGGCTTCGGCAAACGGACACCAGGTCGAGGTTTCGCGAGCGTGGATGCCCCCCAGCTCGCCCAAGCCAGTAGCAACAAGCTCAATCGAGTCTTGTTCCCCAGCGCAATAGATGCGATCATGTAGGGGCGCACAATAGATGCGAGCTCAAGGCTTGGCAGCGCTGGGGGAGATGGTGTTGCCCACGACGCGGGAATATTCCCGCCGTGGAATCGAGAATGAACCTGGCGCCGAACGTTTTACGCTTCTGTGTTGCTCCCGCGTGGGCAGCGGTCCGCGTGCAGAAACGTGCTCTACTTGAGCAGCCTTGCCAATCGTGTATCTGTACCCCGCACTTTCGGTCATGTGTAAAGCAATCGCCGATCATGATCGCCAAATCCGGCGGTCTAGTGGATCAGCATTAAATCTCGCACCTCTTACCTTTAATTTGGATGTTTAAACATCACTTCAGGCTGGCGCTTGTCGCTTAGTGCCTCCAGTGAATGCATTCGTCCAGACAGTAACAACTGGTTTGCCGCAGGCTGCAGCTTTCTCTTGTAGTTGTTGGCCTGGCTGTACATCCCCGTTATAGTGGTTGCGAGTTGGAAGTTTGCGAGAATCAGAGTAGGGAATTGTTGGCAAAAAAAAGTGAGGCGTTGTTCAGTTGGCAAGTTGGCACAGTGTGGATGGTTGCGTTATTTTATTTCACCAGAGCTCCAGTTATTTTCCTTCACCAGAGATCCCTTCTAGTTATTTTCCTTCACCAGAGCTCCAGGTAGTTTATGCGTGATCCCTGGTTTTCCGACAGAGCACTGTCTTGCATGCGTCAGGAAAGCCGCCTTGGGTGCCACGGTACTTGAGGACGTGTTATATGTCTCGGGCGCACGTACATACTAGCCTGCAGGGACGGCGGAGCCGGAAAAAAATTGCGAAGTATGTTTGGTGGCGATAACAGAGTTGGAATATAGTGGCCGGGAGATGATGGTGATGGCACTTAGGTGTCCGCCTGACCCACCCGCCCTGCGTCTCAGGCCATCTGCGGCTATGGCACAATGGGGGGGCAAAGTGTGTCGCATTTTGTTTAGCATGACAACTCTGGTGTGGGGACGTTTTTACTCAGGATAGAGCAGGGCTTTTCCGCATGGAAGAGCTACTTCCAGACGTGCGAAATTTTCCTGCCGTTTCTGTTCCAGAAGCAGATATGGATTGCAAAAATGTCTGGGTCTGGAAGATTGCAACTTGTCATGCTAAATCCGAATCATGCAGAAATCTGTGTTGCATGAGTGCCAAAAGCTGTCCACTTTCGACCAAGTTTGGAGGGAGTTTCTCATGCAGGATTGGCATGATAGAGACTTCGCAGAATCTGTCATGCGAAGTACCGCATTCCAGACCTCATGGGTCATGGAAAATCTGCATGACAAGTTTTCACTTTTCCAGACCCAGACATTTTTGCAATCCATAGCAGAGCAGCCAGAACAACAACCTGGCCTGGGACCGGAAGCAGCCGGAGGTGGCCGACCTCGTCGCCGTGCTAGAGAAGAACAAAGTTTTGCTCGAGCAGGACTTGAAAAAGTTGCTCATGGACCCGCTGGGCTTGTTGAGCTCGTTGCTCAACGAGGCAGCAGTCAATGCCAAGACACCGCCTCAACTTCCGATTGGGGGAAGCAACTCGGCTTCAGGTACTAGTTCTTCCACGGGCGGCGCCGACCACGCTGCAAGAGACCGAGAACAAACGCTAGACTCCTTTGCGCGACTTGTCCGGGAGAAGCATTCGAAGAGCCAACTCGGGAAAAATTTGGCAGGAGAGCAGGACGATGGCAGTGCCGAGATCGATGATGGGAGGAATTCAAAGCGAGGCAAAAGGTCAGCACAAGTAGATGATCATCAAGAGCAGTACGTTTTTAACCGAAATACGTTCTTCCACGTAGCCGCGACGAAGCAGGGCGCGTGGATCAAGTTCGTGCTCTATACGGGGGAATACGGCTGGAACCCGAGTTACTGTCCGGCGAATGTCGCGGAGAATTACGCGACCAGAAACTTCAACTACGAGCAAAACCTCGTGGGCAAGCAGGTGACGAGCGAGAGGGAGCTGGCAATCGGGAAGAACAAGCTTCACGCGTGCACCATTTTCGAGAACAACAACCACCTGCTACCCGGGCACGAGTTCAAAGATTACTACTTTCTGGCAAACAACGAGGAAGTGTCCTTCCAGTTGTTTCTTCCGCGAACGAAAATAGGCACGCACAGCGGCGGATCCAACACGCGGGTCAACTTAGACTTGAATTTGTTCAACGTAGCCGCGGAGAATAAACGCAGTCCAGAGGAAGCAGACGAGTCGACCGGAAGAAACACAAAGAAACGGAAGAAGAACAAGAAGCAAAAGAACAGCACCACTACCTCGAGCGACCGTGAACTGACGTCGTTTATCGAAAAGGAAATCACGAGTAATGCACTGTTGCAGCCGTTCGTCACTGGGGAGTTCTACCGCGGACAAATCGTAGAAGTCGGAGCTGCATCTTCGTCACGTACTGGACTGGGAGTAGAAGTGGCAGGTGAAGAAGATATGTCATTTGGCAAAAAACTACGTGCAGATGAAAATACGAGCGACGTCGTGCACAGGAGGCATTTCTTTCGACAACGCATTGGCAATCGGGAATACCAACATGCAGTACTAGAAGAAGAAGGCGCTGCGACGAAAAGCAGGAACGTCATCTCCAACGAGGACGTCGTAGTGTACGACGACTGCCAAGATCTCTCGATAGAAGTCGGAGACCTCCCCGTTTTCAAGTTCCAGGTGGGCATTATGCACCCGTCACTGATAGAGGAACTGGCGGCGCGAACGCGGCCAGCTGGCAGTAGTAGTGGCGGATCATCAAGTACTGGTACCGCAGGGTCAGGAAGGAGAGGGAAAGGCGGAGAACTGTGATCGCATAAATCTTTGTACGTTTTAATAGTACGAAAATGATGAAAATGAGGTGCGAGAGCGAGAGCGATCATTTCTTTGATTAATGACGCGCAACTTTTCAATTTCAAGTGATAGTACAGATCGATGCTGTTTGCTTGTTTTATTTGTTTGGTGTTGATGGAGCCGCGTCGTTCCGGTTGAAAGCCTCAAGAAATTTAATGGAAGGACAACATACATTCCACGACGCGCGGGCGCGATGGAGCATTTTGACTCCCAGCGAACGAACGCGAACTCTATTTGATAGATTGATTACCTATGCGTCTAAGAAAACTAGCCGGGCCGTTTCTTGACGTCCCCGGTTCGCAGAAATTTTCTTACGTACGGGTTTCTTCACAAGGAAGTGATGAAATTGCGACACGCGCAGCGACAACATTTGCGACAGCGATGTGCTTCATCTTGCCGAAGAGGTACAACAGCGAACCTATCGAAACCTATTGAAAGTGCGTTCACCGAGATCAAGCTTTTGATTGTATTTGATACCAACCTGTATGGCAGCTTTAATCTCTATTGCTGCACCCTCGCACGGAAGTGTACGCTAAGTAGCCCTAGCAACGTCTAGTTGTTGAAATTTCTCCACGCCTTTGATATCTGATTCACTACTGATTTTTAGCCAACGGAAACAACACTGACTTGTCCGTTTTTGAGTTGTCTCCTTGTTTGTCGTGTCAAAATTTCTTTTCACGTAGAATTGTTATTCGAAAAATCTTCACGAAAACGAAAACCAACCTGACCATGGATTGTTATTGTAAAAGGAAAAGGTCGGTTCCGGTTGTCAAAACGATCTTGACAGCCACTTATTGTTATTCTCTGGCAACCGCGGTAACCGCTGCCTTTGTAGTTCCCCAGCCGGAGCCGGACTACAAGCGACCACGTATTGACGAAGTACTCCGCCCCCGGTATGGAAGCAGTATGATGAATTACTCGGGCAGTAAGAAGAAGAACCATCAGTTTTTATTCACAACTAACGAAGATGAACCACATGCACAAGCAGGTGGCGGTGTTGCTGAAGATATTTCCATGCACCACGCGCAATACCGAAGCTGCGAAGAGCGACTACAAACTCACCACACCGCTACTACTACTACCGAGCAACCGAACTGGCAGCCTGCCGCGTCTCCACCAGCCTCGCCTGCCACGTCATCTGCGTCAACACCTTGCCCTCCGGCATTCAAATTTGACCGTCGTGGCAGCGGTTCGCAAGACCCGGAACAACTGCAACAGCCGTCGCAGCAAAATGGACATGCATCATTCCTAGAGAGGAAAGCAAAGGCTCCAAGACTCCAGGATGATAGGACCTCCACGTCGGGCGAAGTACACACCTACAGCACTGTCCTTCCAACATCCGACCAGAACATGGGCGCTCGTGATGGCGTGGGACCAGCGCAGCTACCAAAGCCGGCGGAGCTGGGAGAGGACCGCAATAGCGCGGCGAGCCTTGTCCTTCCAGGATCGGGCGGTCGCGCCAGACCGGGACCACTTTTGGCGACAGCGCTGAGTCTGCCGACGCCCTGGCAGACGTCGGACCCGGACCTTCAGCCGCAGGGGCTACATGACCTCTACGGAGACTTGCCCCCAGCCTTCTTTGAGTTTGGCATGGGCGGATGATGTTTTACCTTTTTACTTTTATAAATAAAGATAAGTATATGTTTTGCTTTTGCACCACTGTGCATAAGATCACGACGCACTTAACAACTGATCCTCAACTTGAGATGCTCTGGCCTGTTGTCTATAACTCGAGAAAAGAAGCGCAGCCATGCTTCACCATTCAGTTTTCTTTCACTTTGTTCATCGACTTGTTGATACCTGTACATAAATTTTTCGGCCATCATCTCTTGGACATAAATTGTTCGGCCACGTATACGTTAGTTAGTACGCGCGGAGTCACTTACCGTACTCAAGAAGAAAGCTGTTGTGGCTGCTCCTTGAAATACTTTGTATACCATAGACTCAGGCATGATGAATCTTATTTTGGATATCGGATTAGGCTTAGATTTGTCCTGGCTCAGGTGGATTGTCATAACGTATAACCGCACGACTGTGCATACATATAGCGAACAGACTTTCAAAAAATTATATCGGACCACAAAAAAATAAAGGAAGCCTCACAGAATAGGGAGGAGGTGCAGAAATTGTGAGCACGACTTGATTGGTGATTTTGCTCAACGAGTGTATGTAAAGCAGATCACTTCACGCACACAAGACAAACTTCACTTCACAAGTGTGCGTAAAGCTAAAAGAACTAGAAGGTGCGTTTTCATATTTTCTATTTTGCTCGAAGAAGACCAGGATTAGGGGATAGAGTGGAGCAAGCAATGACGAGCACACTTGTGCCAACTAGTTGTATCAATTGCTTTTGAAAATGAAAACACAGGAAACTCGCTCCCGCGTAAAGATGATCCGCATTTATGGAAACCAAACTCAGGGGGGTCGACGTGTGGTGAAAATTTTGCTAGTGGAACTTGAAGGACAGAAGCTCACAGAAAGAAGTGCGGCATGGTCCAAGCTTTCCCTGAAGAGACGACGTTATTTTTCCGAATTATTTCGCGATGTCGATCATGTGCATTAGCGAAAGGAAGAAAAAAGCAACGATATACGACTATAATAAAAAAGCAACGATATACGACTATAATGGAGCTGCAAGCTTCAGCCTTTTCATACAGTGTATGAAAATAAAACTCATTTCTTTGACGAACTGCTATCGCTTGAGAATGAGAAAACAAAAAGACCGAAAGCACTTGAAGAAAATAAAACTGAACTATGGGGCAAGCGTTGATCAAATCGTTAGTTGCTGTTTAACAAAAGTTCCGCCCTTTTCTTGGTGAAGAAGGTGGACAGATGGAATGCGAGATAACAAAGAAATGAATCCTCAAGCCGTTTGCTACTTTGCTTAGCCCCCCACAAATAATCCGGGGATGACTTTGCGAGGATTGCGGACACCTTTGTTGCGATATTTCATCGAGCCGCTTGCAGCTAGATTGCTCAGCACACCAGAAAAACACTCGGGGGCAGCTCAATGCTGAAAAGATCTTCAGAAAAAACAGCTTCACTACATGGAGCCCCGTGCTGGGTAATACCACTACTAGTAGTACTGTCTGCAGAATCAACATCGTGGCAACTCTCACTGGGCTGGATCGGGGATCGATCGCATTATCGAATTCTGACCCGTTTTACTGGCTAATATCTTCAGGGCAGAGACAATAAAAACGAAACCGACCACGGAATTGTGATATAACGTTCAAACTCTCATATTTGTACGGCATTGCACTCGCTTCACCGGATTGATTCGTCGACATCGTGAAAGAACAGACGTGGGAATTTTCAAGAATTCGTATTTTGACAATTTGTAGTTTTCCAACAACGTATGCGTATCAACATCGACCAGTCAACATGGCAGAAACATTCCCTAGTAGTACTGGTGTTTTTTCTTCCTTAGCGGAACTTCCAGCACACCTGCCGGTTGTATTGGAGGGGCAACTACCGCTTTTGTTGCCGCTGAAGGTCGGAAGAAAAATGCTATACGACGCAGGAGCGGTGTTCCGGCGCAGCGTGGACGACGTTTCGCATTTGCCCGTGGCGGTGCAGGAACTTTTCGCCTCGGTGCCGAAGGGAGCACTGCCACCCGCGGAAATTTTGCTGACGCTCGGCTGGCTGTTTTTCAATATTCTGTTCAGCTACCTCGGGTTTTCCGTGCTGCTCCAGCCTCGAAGTAGACCAGAGGTCTCGACCGTGGACGACGATGCTTCTAAAGGTTCAGCTGCAGCCACTTCTGCCAGCGACTCTTCCAGGTCGGCGCCTCCTGGCAAGAAGAACCAGGGCAACTACACCAAGAATGGCACTGCGGAGGACCCCAACAAGTCTTCAGCGTCCGACATGTTCACCATTCCGCCTTTGATTGATCTGAGCGAGACGAGAAGCAGGACGAACAACCTGCTATTCTTCCGCCGCACGATTTTCGCCCTGGTACTGGGCGTTGTGCCGATTTACGTCGTGTACAGTTCGGTGTTCCTGCAGCCGTTCCTGATCTTTCTGTTTTGCAGCTCCGTCGCGGTCCTGTACTTCCCCCCGGTGCTCACGACCCTGATCGCCATTGCCGTGCTGAGTTGGTGCCACCTGAACGTGATGGGGAGCATGGGCCGTGGCGCCGACGCCAACGCGGACGTGGCGGGGGCAGCTTCGGACCACACCGACTACAGCGACCCAAGCGGGATTTTCATGCTGTTTTGCGTGCGGCTGTCGCAGGCCGCGTGGGAGGTCTACGACGGAAAGATGCTGGCGCGAAACCCGACCAGCCCCCTGTCCGCGAACCCGAAGGTGGACCAGTTTCGCCGCACGCGGGCGGTGGTGCCGCCGGAGAGACCAACGGTGTCTTGGATTCTGGTGTTTTCCGCCTTCTGCGTGTTCTTCCCCGGAATTTTAGTGGGGCCCTCCGGCGGCCTGCGCGATTTTGTCGACTTTCTCGACATCGCGGGCAGCTGCAACGACGGCAGTGCCGCCAAAATGAACTTGTCCCGTCGTCCCGTGAACAAGCTGAAGATCTTGAAGCTCATCTTCACCGCCCTTACGTGCGCTGCGATCTACCAGGCGGCCAACGTGGTCCTTCCACTGAACCGGGACATCCTCGACAACTACTTGCCCACCCTGCCGGTGGTCCTGCGGATTCTGTACCTGACCTTCTCCGTGGACGGCTTTCGCTACAAGTACTACCTGGTCTGGTCTCTCTCCCTCGCGGCCTCAACCGCGAGCGGGTTCTCGACTGACGACAACGACAAAAACGCGCAGAACGTGGACATCGTGCGCGTGGAAACGTTATCCAATGCAAAAATGTCTGGGTCTGGAAGAATACGCGATTTGTCATGCAGCTTTTCCATGACACCCATGAGGTCTGGAATGCAGGACCTAGCATGACAGATTCTGTGCGATCTCTCTCATGCCTATTCTGCATGAGAAACCCCCTCCCGACTTGGTCAAAACTGGACGACTTTTGGTAATCATGCAACACAGATTTTTGCATGCTGCGGATTTAGCATGACAAGTTGCAATCTTCCAGACCCAGACATTTTTACATTTGATAAACGTCCACCGCCATGGCGGACATGCTGGTCGGGTGGAACACCAGTGTGAGCTTGTGGCTGAATATGGAAAGAAAAAAGTTTGTCACAGTCACTAACGTGCAGGTTTTGCATGATAAATTTTTCCCGCATCACAGGTTTTTCTTGTATTGCAGAAACACTAAGGAAATCCCTTATGAAGTTTGGCTGTGATGCATTTTTACGCATGACAGACAGTTTTGTATTGCAAAAATGCGCATGAGTGATCGTGACGAACTTTTTTTGTTTGATACTCAAGTGCTCGGTGTTCGAACGTGTAATGGACAGCAGAGTGATCAACCGGTTCTTCCCCAAGTCAAAAAAACTGCTCGCGACTACCATCACCCGCATCTTCTCCGCGGTCTGGCACGGCTTCCGTTCGGGGTACTACTTGTTCTTCCTCTCAACCGTGCTGGTCACCGTGTCCGAGGCCCACCCGGTGCTGCGGTGGCTGGAGGCGAAAGCGCCACTGGTCAAGTGGCTCCTGCATGCCATGTTCTTCAATGTGGTTGCGGTGCCCTTCGTTGTGCTGACCTGGCAAGACTCCTTGAAGGCCTGGAATTTGGTCTACTACTCCGCTCACATAGTCATGCTAGGCTTCATCGCCTCGCAGCAATTCTCGAAGTTCTCCAGCTGGAAGCTACCCCCGAGGGCGGGGGAGGAGATCAAGCAAGGGGAAGGGAAAAAGGAGAAGTGAACGAACAAGAAGTGCAACGCGTACGACACCAAATCAATCTATTATACTGGAGGGCATGGGTGTCCGATGATATTGTATTTGTGTTGTTATGTATATGTATTAATTAAACTACCAAGTAAATAATTATAATTTCTGTTTTGTACAGTACATGCCGTTGTTCTCAACAACCTGCATGTCCAAGAAGTATGTAGTGAGACACGGCTAGTAAGTAGCAGGATAGGCTACAGTGTGTATCAAAAGCCAAATCATCATCAAGAGAACCAACATCATCGAGAATTGTGCCGGGCGATGAGATGAAGTATTGGCAACATGCAACAAAGCATTCGAAATAAATAGAACAGAGCGACAGGAGTGGCGAGCCAGAAGTGTATCAACCCACCAGAGAACAACAGGGCGAATGCCTTTGCCTTTCTTGGCGAGAAGAGCAAGAAACTCCATGACCGTGGCGTGGTATCCCCCACCGTGTGGCTCCATCGACATTCAATTTTAGACAAAAGGAAGAATTGAGAGCCTCTGCTGCATTTTTTTTCTTAGATAAAATCGAAATTTGTTCATTTCGCATACGTCGATTTGGTTTGTATGAGGACGAGTGTAGTTGGAAGTTGGAGAGTACAGTACGAAAAACGTTGATGACAGGCACGACGTCTTGATTTTGAGAGAGGTTGGAGCTTCATCGTATCTATGGGGTGAATAAGCGTTTGCACAGCTTTAGCTTTTTTCTCGTTGTCCTCGCTCGTGTTCGTCTGTCGTGTACAACCGTGGGAAATTCCTTCTGAGCGGGGCATGTGATGCACTACGATAGTTTTGTCGTCCATACACATGGAATAGCATGGATGTGTAGAAACAAAACGACACCGCAACGAACCAATAACATAAGTTTTTCTCTATCCTCGCGTTGGTTCGATCTTCGATTTCGGAACAACTGTGTAACTTTCTAATAGGGTGTAGAAAGAAAAGCTCTTTTTTTTCGGTGCCCAGGCAGGTCTGAGAAAATGGGTGCTGAAGAGACTGCCGCTTTGGCGGATACCGTTGAGACGGGTCCATCGACCGATGACTTCGTCGCACTCAACTACTTGGCGCCGGGCGTATCAAGCAAGGTATACAAGTACAAAAGTCTGTGGTCCTTAGTCCTGGCTGTACCATTTTTTTTTTCGCAAGCAGCGCGTCTGCATGAAGATGAAGTAAGTAACTCCGGTTGCATGCATGACGATGACACGCAAGACCAAGAACGACACCAAGAAAGGTACTTATCGTGAGGCATTGATTTGACAAAGCCTGTCATTGTTTCTGTTTCACATCCGGACAAAGCAACGATTTGTTTCTCTCACACCAGATTGCCCGCAAGCGCGCAGAGGAAATGGAGAGAAGAAAGCGGATACTCAACGCCAAAGTGCGCACGATCGGCGTCGACAAGGAGACGCTCGACGCACAGGTCGCAATGAAGAAGGAGTCCGACGCGTTTGAGAAGGAACTCACAAGAGCGTACTTGATGCATAGATGCATTTATTCATGTTTGCAAATAATTTCTTTGAATTTTTCACTCAACGGTGATGCTGGATGTGATTTGAGATTGTCGAGATGGTAAACCGCAATTGAGTCCTGATTTCTTAGATTTTCTTCATGCGATTTTTTCTGACATTGTGCAGAGGCAGACCAGTCTGTCACTTTTAGATTCGATCATGACCATGATGAAGTTTCGACATGAAATGCAACAAGACGTTCAAACAAAAACAGGGAGGAAGAGGCCGTCTTAGCAGTGGATAATCAGTTGAAGATGTTGGAGGTAGAGAGAAAAAGATTGCACACCGAGGCTACCAGGGACGTCGTTGCATGGAACGCAAAAATGAATACCAAAGAAGGCCGACGAGAATACGCCCTGTCGGACCCAAATCAACTGAAAAAGGAGAAGGCACTACCGGATGAAATGCTCGGAGTACTTTCATTTTCCGCGTTGCCTGGTTTGATAATGATACCTATAGAGCTTTTGCATTTTTCTTTTTGTATGGATCATCCATCACAATACTTAGTTACTGTGTGTCATTGACTCAGGTCTCATCTTTGTGCAAATTCGCGGGTGAGGACCCAGGAAAGGCGGTCCGTGTGAAGGCACAGCATGCACAGCAACGCAATTGGCTCGAGCAGCAGGTTTACGAGAAAAAAATGCTTAGCGAACTCGAAAAATCCAGCGATGCCGACTTCGCAGCATCACAGAAGGACTTGTTGTCGCTGAGGACGCGTAATATTTTGCACCTTGGATAATTCTTTTAGCTTTAGACAATGTTTCTATGTATGTGAATGAGTTGGTCAGTTTATACATTTGGGTTTTGATGAATGACTTCACCTTTGAAAAACAAAAAGCCCAGCGCATGCACGAGAGAGAAAGAAAAAATGAAAATCCGCAACAGAAATCGAGAAAGAGGAAATCCAGTTACGAAAGGACGTCACCGCTTCGGCCCTTGAATACAACGCAAACAAGAGGAAAGAAACAGAAGAAGAAAGAGAAAAGTACGTTATACTCTTTTGTTCCTCTATGAAAATACTCCTCTTGAAATAATTTTGCCAATTCAATCAACATCAAATAAAAATCAAAGTCCCACTTTGGTGATAACCAAAAAAATCATTTCAAGGAACCGGTTCCAGCGCACTTTGGAGGAGAAAATCGCGGACTACCGAGAAAACACTTTCATCGCAACGGACCCCTTCACAAACGAAACCACGCCGCAGATCTGCCCCAACGGGCGCATCCGGCGAGACCACTTCCGGGGCCTCGGAAAGGAGTATTACTACCACACTGCGGACGTGCAGCGGCACCAGGCAGAATACGGCGCCGAGCTCGCAAAAGCGCTCGTACAACAATTTGGCGCTGCTGTTGCACAAGCACTTCGACTTCTATACGATGATTTCGTTCGTTTTGTTAATTATGAGAGTGCATAAAATGAATTATTGCAGTGAGTTAGAGCTAGAGGTTGAACTAGTAAAGCACTACCATTACCCATTAGAGGCTCGAACGCACTCGACCCTACTTCTTCTCTGACAACAGAAAGCGGAAGATCTGGCCCACGATGCTGTGGCGGAGGAAACGAGAAGAACGTTGGTCGGGTTGGAAAAGGAGAGGCTGAAAACCCACAAAGAAACTGTCTACGACGAACTCCACACGAACGTCATCGACCCAGACAAAGCGAAGAAGAACAAGGTATGGATTGGTTTCATAGTAGAACTAAGCCTCGAATAAAACCGCAACTCGAAAAAATATCAAAGTGCCCCTGTGAAAGGTGTGACGAAAATAATGTATGAGTAGATGAATCAAGTGAAACTAGAACTACTTCTTCGTTGACGTTGAGTAGATGGAACGTTCGGGCATGATAAGGGAGGCCGTGAGGCGTGCCTGCGCTGTACTGACGTCCCGTACCGTGCGCGTTTTTCGCTGCCCTGTGTGGTCTCTCTGTCTTTTGACGTGAAGATCTTCTCGAAAGACATTTCTTTTCCCGTGGACATTTCGCTCGCCTTGTCGCCGCCATCAGGTTTTCTGTTTGCATGGACGAACGCGACATCGACATTCTCAAACTTCTCAACCGACACTCTGTGCGGTGTCCGCATAACAGGTCGAAAAAGCCGACCTGGACCGATTCCTGTCGGGATTCGGCTCCTCCTCGCGATAGACTCAACATGAGATTGTTGAAAAGTTCTTGTTTGACTAAAAAGAAGAATGAATCGGATTCGAACATCGGAAAGAAGATGCAGAAAATCTACATCTTCTCATCAACACAATCACCTACTTGCCCATAACCAATCGGCTTTGTGGAGCAAACTTCTACACGAGGGCAGGACGCAGAAACATCCATGTATGAAAGCCAGCTAAAATACATTTGATTGAATGAAACCTCGCAAAAAAAAATTGGGGTCGTCAGGCGTGAAGTTGTGATAAACAAGGAGTGTGGGGCGGTTTGTTTTTCCGCGTTTTTTGGCATCATGCTACCAACGGTGCATGCTGCAATCGGTTTTTTTTTTCTAAGTTGGAGCGGCGATGCGGGAGCGATGATGACGGGCTGTCTGTCGTTGCCGGATTTATCTGCGGACGTCGAACAATCACATATACTGTGTACTATTCATGCCAGAGTCTTCAATAAAAATATGAAAAACAAAATATATCTCGCAATGTAACAACAGGTGTCGTGTGGTGAAATCTTACCAGAATTCTTCAAGGGTTTTGGTGCTACCACCCGCTAAACGGACGAGACTACGTTGGTGTTTTTCAAGTAGATGTTGAAAAGCCGCAACTAAGGTTTGCCCACTCCGCCTTATCTTGGCTTTAGACCAACAAGAACAACAGTATCTTCATCTTCAATTACGAGTCAAAATAGAACCTTACGCAACAAAGACATCCTCGCGAATCAGTTACCGAAACAAATATATATGTCATTATCTAAATCATCAGACCGAGAATCAGAGAGACGAAAGCAATAGAAAACCGTTTCTTGAGTTGAATTTTACGCATCGGAGTTACGTGAGAACTCGAATAGCAGCATCAGATCGTTTTAAGGTAATCATCAGACAAGATGTCTCAAGACAAGTATCCGACAAATATCAGACGTTCAGCAATTTTATCAATCGTGTCGATGACGGTCATGTCCATTTCTTGTACCCTGGATGTGGAGACCAACTTGTGAAGCCGAGCTTGCAGTCACTAGAGCAACGAGCACGACTATTGTGGTGCCCATTGAAGCTTCAAACGACACTGAGTAGAACCTTATCAGACGAATTCGACTTTTCAGTATAGCTTAGTTACTAGAATTCAATAACCAGCAGTATCTCTTCGAACTTGAATCAGACCACTTACACAAGGTCCGTATAAATATATTTCCTACATTTTGAACAGTTTGTTTGAACCGATTAAATGTAAATTCGAAACAGTACGAAAAACTCTACAAAAATCCGTAACCCGCGAGAGCAGGAGGCACGGAGGATATTTCAGAGACGTACCAGAAGCAGTAGGCTTCGGGAGCTTCCTCCTTCTCAACACTTACAATATGTGAATCTCGATTGTTGTCTTCAAAATGCACACCTGTAATCCCAGGAGTGAACAGATTCGCTTTCGCCCTTGCTAGAACTATAGCCGAGTTGATGTGTTAGTGTTTACCACCCGAATTTTTATACTGGAACTACTTGAAAATGAAAATGCACAGTGTCGCACGCAATGGAGTTTGCAATGATTTGAGTTGCGCGCCAGCCACTTCGTTCTTAGTGCATTGTATGCTTGCCACGATGTTGCTGGTCAGACGTAAATTTGTTATGTTCCTGTAGCAAATTAAGAACAAAAAGGCTGTCGTGGGCACATATTTTTGCAGAGAAAATTTTTATCTCCGGTAATTCTCAGAGAACCTGAAGCTGAACCAACTCAATAACAACCGAGGAATCCGTTCTATTGCAAACTTGATCCGACATGCAAAGATCGCACCAGAGCGCAAACATGGACAGCAAACACGAAAAAAAAAAGATAAAGGAAGCTGATCTCATTTTCAAGCAAGGACCAGATCAGTTATTTGCTTCTCTGGCTTCAAAAACTTGCTCGTCGGACCCATTATTTTCAGAGAATGTATAGACAACACGCACCGTTGGTTTTGGAAAAAGAAACAAGATAAACTTTATTGGTTGCCGTCCCATTCTGTGAGGTGATGGCGCACTACAACGTGACTTAGCTTTCTTTTGACCGATAAAGGCCCGTTAAAGTAGACGATTTCACAGTGGTGTAAATAAACAGTAGGGTAATAAAATCAGTTCTAGTACGCCCCCCTCGTCTCCAAAAAGCCATGTTCGGCTTCGGTCGACGATTGGTGAGCCTGAAGCACCTCCCGATGGGCATGTTCAGGGCGGTCGTTTACATGTGCATGGCAGCAGGGCTCCTGAATGGCTTCGCGAGGTATTCGATTTTTTGTTGGAAAAATAGTAGAAGATGAACGCAGCTCGAAAGAAAAACCGCTCCAAGTCCTTACAAATGTAGATGAAAAAACCAGGCACAACACGACATGTTGCACATATGATAACACATTCCTATTCAGATTCTGGCACTTTTGCACGTTCGAGGCGAGCCACTACCTACACGGCTGGGGTGTTTTCCAGACCGGCGCCGAAACCATCGGGCGGGCATTTCCAATGACGGAGGTGAACGGAGTGCGCTTCGACTTTAATCTACAGCACATCCTGATTTGCGCCATCATGATATGCACACAGTACATGCACTACGGCAGGACAACGCGGGACATCATGGAAGAGGGCATTACGTTGACCAAAGAGGAGAAGAAGAAACGTGCCAAGGCAGAAGAGAAGAAAAGACGTGCCTTGGCAGCAGAGCTTTAGATGAAGGCAAATCTTCATAATGAGTCTCTGTCTCACGAAGAAGAAGAAGGACCCCTTTATGGAGATTCTGATTTGTCAATCCTGAAGATCATTTGCTTTATTTCCGCGCAGCGCTAACTACCCCCTTTGGCTGTCCCCCGACGGCCCTTCGACAGATCTGTACTAGGACGACTGTGGACAACATCCCTCCGAATGAACAATCACCACATATGGAAGCTACACACGGACGCATCCGTTAATTTATTTGCTAGCATTTGCATCGTGCTTTTCCTTTTTGTCCCCGTTCCAACAGAGAAAATCACTCGGTAATGTCTTCGGTGCACCGTCGCCGTTGCTTCAAGATTGTCGGTTACGTGTTTTGTAGATGAAGATGAAGTGCCCTTCAACGAAAGGGTAATTTCGTGCCCTTCAACGACGGGACTATTGACGAAAAGGAGAAGGAGATCGTCGTCATCGAGGACGACGGAACACAAAGTGAGTCCGGGATCAGCAGCGGCGAGGAGCGACGGCGGCGGGAGTACGATAGGAAGAAGCGGGAGAAGAAGGGCCATACTTCAGCTTCGGAAGGTCGGGAAAACGGACAAAGTCGGCGCGCTGGTAGCCTCTCGGGTGGATCGCGGGACATCGTCGTCGTCCAGCAATGTCGCAGGCCCATCCGCCGTGCCGCCGTGCCGCAGTTCGTCCAGCAATGTCACTCCCACAGCCGCAGTTCGTTTCAAGGTGGTAGCTAGACCTGATTTATCTAGCTAGCCCAGCCCTTATGGCAGAAGAAGACGGAGGGCAGCACGGGCGTTTGCTACCTACTTTAGTATGTAGGTGTGGTTCTCGAGCAACTTCAGCGACTTTGGCACAGTATTCTAATCGATATTGGCACCACAGGTCTCGTCCGAGCTCGGCGCGCTATGGCTCTCCGACATACGATAGGGCCGGCGATTGGCCTCATGGATGCGCACGCGCAAGAAGACCTCGGTCGGCGATGTTAAGTAAATACCGCAGCGACGAGCGGGCAGCGTGGTTTTTGGCGGGGCTGCCATCTTATCTTGGCCAAAAACCTACCCACCCCCGCGGACTCATTGGGAGAAGCCCAGCGAAGGCCCCGACTCCTCGTGTGGGCCTGTCCGAGTACGGCCTTTTCGGTCACCTTGTTGTAATGTTGCGTCCGTCATCCTTCATGTGCATGCTTGTATTATACTCTGTTTGCGCTGGTGAAGTAGAACTAGAACTGCCAGCATCATCTTCATCTTAGACAAGGAAAATCGCCGCAGTACATGAAAAATCGACCACCCCCCTACCGCGGGGTGGCGGAGCAAGAGGCTGGCTTATGTAGACCTCATCGGGGCCGCGGCTTTGTTCGCTGGACTCCGCGCCAGGACGAGCGCCGCCTACTTTGGCGCCAGTTCTCAGTCACTGCGCCGAGAACTATCGCGATACCATTTCTCGCATGTTGCGGGCAGGTCATTCCGCACCCAGATAGCGGGGGCCGCCTCTTGGAAAGACGCACCGCAGGGAGCATTCACAGGCCCCCCTTTTGCCGAAAAAAAAGCACCCCCAAGAAGCACCCCCCTTGGATTCCCTTTCCCCGACCTAAAATGGCTGATTTCCGGAGCCAAAAAAGGACCCCCCTTAAGCACCCCCCTGGAGGGGGCCCCCTGTACGCCGCCTGGGGCCCCGGTCGTTGTTTGGTCGGCCTAGTTTGGGAACGGGCTCCCGACTTCGCTGCGGCCGAGGCGAAGCAATTCCGCGGCAGGTACGCGCGCGGCCTTTCCACTCGGGAACACGTCGCGCCTGCGCCACGCACCTAGGTCTGCAAGAATTGGGCGAGCTGCTACGAGCTGAAACCCAGACAAATGATCTCGTCGCCCCACCACGCCGGCGAATGGGGGTGGTCGATTTTTCATGTACTGCGGCGATTTTCCTTGTCTAATCATCTCCATCATCATGATATGCATTGATATTGAAGGTACGACGCGACGGGGTGGGTTGGTTTTTGATGAAGATACGGCGACGGCGATAACGCGATCTGCAAACTTGATTCCACAAACTTGATTTCAAATCTAAACGTGATTCGACAAACGTGATCCGAAGATAAACGTGATTCCATTAACTTGATTCCAAGCGCAAACTTGATTTCAGATTTCGACTAACTTGATACGGGTGCTTTCCTTAAAGATTGTCGGTTACGTGTTTTGTAGATGATGATGATGATGATGAAGACGATCGTGAGTCACGATTGTGATACCGGAAAAGTCGGTTCGTGCACCACCCATCGCTTACGACTCGGTCGGCTGAAGTAAAGCACAGACACATTGTTCGGTTTCTGAAGCCATGCGTACAGATTGAATCGGCACGTTCTATGTACTTATCCCGCAGGTCGTTTCGTCCAACTTTTTCGTCCGAGCACACAGTATTGATGCTTGATCTTCGTTATGAAGCACACCCTTTTTTTTTATTGATCTCCAACAACCCAAACACAGCCGCCCGGCCCATTGATTTCTTGCGACCTGTTAATTTTGGTGCAGCGCAAGTGTACTTCACGGAGGAAGTGCCGCGGCTTTGCTATGATTCTTCTTCATACCGTTTCGCGCTAGAGCTTTTTGTTTTCTATTTTCTATTACCAACTTCTAGTGCGTTTTCGGTAGTGTAGTGTAGTTATTTTGTCATCGAGCCCTAAAATCAAGTTCAAGAAAAGAAAAATCTCACGATTGTTGGGATTTCTGAATTAGAGACCTCTTTTTGGTTTATTTAGTCTTATCACAATTAAGGATTTTACATCCTCTAAAGTTGACAATTTTACCACATATCGGGAAATTCGTCTTGTTTTTTCTGCAGATACTTTGTCTTGCAGGGCAAGCCGAATGCATTAGCAATACTTCACGATTGAGTCTTTGAGAAGCTTTCGAGTTTAAGGATACAAGCGCATGATTGAAAAATTGCACTGCTTTCGTTTGGCCTCGTCTTATCATGCGTGAAAGATGAAACCATCCAAGGACAAAGCGGCAGGTAGGATATTAGGAGCGAGAGGGACCTCGGCCTTCCGACAGTTTCTGTTGGTTTTCACCCTGGCTTTTTACTTCAACGTATCCACCACCACCTACTCATGCTCGTGCCAAGTGCACGTGACCGGTGGCCCGTCTACGTGTGCTGCGAGCTGCATGGAAACAGGTCAAGACCAACCGAGTACCCGGCCGAAGCAGTGTACAACGGTGGAGACAACAAGAAGGACAGCGGAGAGTAGAAACAAGCCGGAGTTGCTCCGGGGTTTCGAGAAGGATGTCATCGAGATTCCTGGTCGAAAGGACACAATGGTTCACAGTACACAGACAAGGGACCACGATCTTCACAACCGTCGGCCGATGAAAATCCTGCACAGTGCGATAGACAGCATGGCGAATTCGTTCAGCCAGAACGTGAACAAACTGAAAAATTTGACCCGGAGCGTGGAGGTGAACGCTGTCGCGTCGTTCCTGGAAGAGGGAAAATCGCCACTGGTTTACAACTACCTACCCGGCGAGTTGCAAGCCTACGGGACGACCGGGGACCACGACGAGTGGTCCTCAAAGCCGCCGCCGCCGCTGCTGGCAGCAACGGACTGGGACTTCTTCGACTATGACTACGGGAGCGAAAACGGCGAGCGGGTCCCGAACAGACCACTAGCCAATCGACTTCCGCCCCCGGACTCCCAGGAGTTTCCCTGGATGGTGTCCACGTCGGCGGACAAAGAAAGTTTGAACACGCAGGACTTGCTGCTCCAGGAGGCCAACTGGCGGAAGTGGCTGATGACTACGCTCACGCACGACCAGCGCGTCGAGTTGATGTTCCGGAAGCTCGGGATTGTCTGTGTCACATGCCTCCTGTGGGCACTGTGCTGCGTCATGCTGCTCCTCCTGGCCATAATCGTCGTTCCCGACTTCGTCTCGCGCCACAAACACCTGCTGTCGACCCAGCACAAGGTCTGGTGTCTCGCGTAGGTAGAAGGAGGGTCGGAGTTGATGGGAGCCCACGCAGTATCTTGGTGTGTTTGCGACGTAGCTCATCAGTTCGCAAATCGCAGCTCGGAGGATATTCTTGTGCTACTAGAGCATATAGTAATCTCCGAAAGTAGTTGCATAAAGTTGTTTGTTTTCTATTTCTTGATCATGCGCCGGCCTGTATACACAAAAAAATTGTTATTGTTTTTGTTTGTATACGATGGCCACCACCCATCCGTCTTGTACGATGAGGATGGACAAAAGTTAACCTTTTACCTAGGCTCTTCATTGGTTCAGTCGTGGATTATTTGCTTTTTCCTCTGTATTGTTATCGATCGCAATGAATCGACAACTCATATTGCCATGCTGCACTTTTGGACAGCTGTGAAGAAGCAACCTGAATAAACCACAACGGATTTTCGCTTACTTGTTTCTCGCATTTGTTTTCATATACGCTTTTTTGACGGTCGACTCTGTTCGCGCTAGGATGTTCCCGCCTGCTGTCTGTGGGTAAGTATGTGGTGTTTGTTCCCAGCTCAGGAGTAGAGATTAGCTTGCGCATTTGAAAGAAAGTACAACAAGGCAGAGCGAAGATCCAACTGCATTGAAGAGTAGATCGATCTGGTTGTCGCTTTTGATATGTTGACTCAGCCAGATGTAGCATTGATCTTGATCCTAAGCCTGATCCGCAAACGAAATCGAACGTCGTGAAAAATAAAACCGTGCCTTTGATCGAAGAAAAGGAAACAGATCTTCTGCTTGATCGAAGTCTGTCCATGCTCCAAGTCGATTGGGATCCGTATCCACCGGTGTCCGATGAAAGGTGAGGATCCAAAACAATTCATGGCCGCGCGAAGGAGCCGTAAATAGAGGCGTCAATGCAACTGATCAACAAAACGTAATTTCGCACTAGAACTAGGAAGCTACCTTGTGCATACATTCCATATGCTGTGGATTTCCGTCCAAAAGCCTAGCAGGAGACTTCGGCAAGGTGTCAGATATTGGCTCACGTTAATTTTCGCAACTAAGTACAAGCAAGTTGTGTATCTCAACCTCAGAACAAAGAACTTGTCTTGATTTCGCAACAATTTTTTCATTTTCTTCACTACACAGAACGAACCAGAACGAAAACCGCATTCGAAAAAAATGGCGGGTGGCAAGAAAGCGATGAAGAAAGTCATGAAGAAGATCATGAAAAAAGCAGCACCTTCTACGAACTCTGCCTCGACTGAGACCACATCAAAGGCCGAGCAATCCAAACCGGCTGCGGAGAACAAAATGGATGTGGTGGAGGACAGCGACAACGAAGAATCTTCCTCCTCGGCCGTGGCACCCGAGGAGCTTGCGGAACGCGCAGCGGAAGAGCTCGCGAAGAAAACAACAGGACCAAGTGCACCAAGCTCTAGCACAACTCCGGCGGCAAAAGAAAAGAAAATCGTCAAAGCATCTGACGACGAGAACGAGGGCAGCGCTGAAGAAACCGGGGACATCGAGATGCTGGAGGAAGAGGATCTGAGCGAGGATGAGGCAGACGCAGATGTAGCCGGCGCTAGTACGACCGCAAATGCAAAAAACACAGCGCAAGAAGGAGAACAAGATGACGACGAGAACGTTGCTCCCGATGAGGAAAAGGTCGTGGTGGAGGAATTTGCAAAAGACCCCTACCTGCTGAAAGACGCGGAGTACATCAAAACGGACCCAAACTGGAAGAACAAGCAACGCACACTCTTGTTCAGCACGCGGGGCATCTCCGGCCAGCACCGACACCTGATTGACGATTTGAAGAAGCTGTTGCCGCACCACAAGGTGGAATCGAAAGTCGAAAAGTCGCAGGATTTCACCGTAGTTAACGAAATCGCCGAGCTGAAATCGTGTAACAACGTGTGTTTTTTCGAAGCGAGGAAACACCAGGACTTGTACCTGCACGTCGCAAGGGTCCCGTGCGGCCCCACGGTGAAGTTTCAGGTGCTGAACATCCACACCTCCGGCGAGGTGCGACTGAGCGGAAACTGTCTCCAGTACAGCAGACCACTGCTCACCTTCGACGCACCGTTTGACGCCGTGCCGCACTTGAAGCTTATCAAAGAACTGTTTGTCCAGGTATTGTGACAAGGCTGCTGTCAAAATGTTTTTATTGCGGTTGATTATTTGGATGTGCTTGCGCAAGGTTTCGCGCTTTTTTTGTACTCATACATTGGATTTTTCTTTTTTGATTTTGAAAAAACTAAAAAAAAAATTCTTGACGTAAACATAAACAATACACAGACATTCGGAACGCCGCGGAACCACCCAAAGAGCAAGCCGTTCCACGATCAAGTGCTATCATTCTACTATGCGGACGAGAAGATCTGGGCCCGGCACTATCAGATTTCGCCTCTGACAGACGCCGACGCGAATGATCCCGAGAAGCAGACGCTAACGGTATCAAAATGAAAAATCCCCCCACCCCATATCAAAACGAAGTTTGTGATGCTGGATTTGCGTACACAAATCAGATTGGTCTTGCTGGAGAGGACTGCAGGCCCATACTAAGCCTGAGCGGAGAGGTTTCGGGCTAGGCTCTTAGCATGAGAAACGTCTGCGCTGTAGGCCCAACAGCATCACAAACCGCCTGCATAAAGCGGCGGCTGTCTGTGGAGTTGCCTTCTTGCAAGACAGAGATGATTTGTGGTCGCAAATCAGCATTGCAAATTTTCTGCTACGTACCTTTTCGATATGGGGAGGGGGGATTTTTCCTCACAATAAACGGAGATTGGGCCGCGTTTCGTATTGGATCCGATTTGGATCCTGCAGGGGAGCTTCTCAGGCCAGAAAATTTACCACAACAACAATTTCAGCACCCCCACCGCGGTGCGCAGGGAAAACAAGCAAAAGCTCGGAGTGCGGGCAAAGGTACGTGATTTGCTTTTAGAAAGATATTTGATATGGACGTTAACGTATGTTTCTTTGCGTGATAGTAGATGATGATGATGATGATGCGTGTAGTAGTGCTTTTCTTGCGATGTCAGCGGCGACAGCCGGCTTGGTGCTACTCATATGGCATGGTGATGCTCATGGTCGACTGCATCGATATGCCTGTTTATCAACTTTTTCTCAAAAACCAAACGCAGGTGCGTGCAGAGCAAGACGAACAGACCCGACTCACGAACAAGAAGCTAGAAAGAGCCGCGGATCCGACTGAAGCAATCTTCGAGGAGTATTCATAAGTCTGTATGGAATATTATGAATTTTTCCGAGCACAGTGAGGGAGCTGGACTTAGTATCGCTGAGGTTCTTTATTTCTGACGCCAGAAAAGAAGCATCCGAAAGGATTGGGGACACTGCGGATTGTTTTAAGTGCGCATGCATGATCATCTCGATTATTACGCTCGATGTCTTATCGCCATCGATCGGATTCGGACGGCCGACGGACGTCGTCGCACCCTTCTAAAAAAACTGCTCCTACAAATCGTGTTCGACTAAATTGAGTTTCACTTGCAAGTATTTGATAGTCATGTACTCAAGTACACGCAGCTTCCTCGTCGGATCGTAAAACAGCAACAGTGCCGTTGTATCTGATGGATCACGACGAAAGCTCCATGCAGTCACAGTAAGTCGTGTCGCGGGTCTCAATGGTCGTCTTACTTTGTCGTATCATACCCTTTGATCACGATCAAGATCTTCATCCTATGCCGCCATATCAGAGAAAGTTTTCTGCTAGTGAGGGCACCAAGCGCAAGCCAGTAGGTGCCGTGAGTAAAAATCCGAAGTAAGCCTTTCAAGCATCGACCTTCCGACATTAACCAAGATGCCGACCCCAGATTTTCTCGCCGACATAGAGCCTCTGCGACACATGATGTTGGGGTTGGCCCACACACCACCACCGCATTCGATGAACCATGACTTCGGGCATGTGCAAGACCCTCTGCTGTGCGCGCACGATCTCGGGCAGTCTTGCTCCTCTACCGCGTTCGCTGCAATAGGAGCAAGAGAACAATCCGAACTACCAGGAGGGTCAACACAGCTTGCAGCGCCGACAGTTCTATCTGCATCTTCACCTGTTTCTTTATCAGGGATTCATAAAGCGGGCGACTTTAATATTATCAGTGGCATGACGGAGAACCACACCACTCGCACTCAAGTTCCGTCTTCGTTTCTCGAGGTCCCAGAGCCGGACGGGACACTTCTACCGGCGTGGAAAATGTTTCCGGCAAAAACCGCCGCGGCCGTCGGACCTTTCGTCCCCGCAGCGACGACGGTGACGGCGGCGGAAAAAACGGCGATCCCGCTTTTGCTCGCGTCCTCATTTCTGGTCTCCGCCGGGTCGTCGTGCATCTCGTCTTCCTCCGGGAGAACCGGTGCTCGTCTTCTGGCACCAGAAAACTACTACGCAGCGTCTGTGTCATCTGGGAGTGCGTCGGAACAAGAGGATCTTGTTCACGAAGTGTTTCGTGATCAAAACGGTTGTAGTAAAAATGCCTGTTCTGTACAGAGTCCATGTCGTGGACAAGGAAAGACAACACCCACGACCAGGTGGACCTCTTTTGCCACCTCCAGTCCGCACGACGCGCCCGGCGCCGTTCCCAACGAGCTTTCCACTCCCGGGACAACCCAAGTGCCAGGCGTCCCTTCTGCAGCAGATACCCACCAGAGTGAACGATGCTGTGTGGGGAGCACGCGGAACCACTACAAGCCCTGTCCACGGGGGTTCGAGGAGGCGGGCGAGGCGAGGTGCCGGCCGCAAGTAGGCGTGTACGAAGGCCCGTGCCAGGAAGTGCAGGACTTTCACGGATTTAACTCGGCCATGTATCGGGCCTGGGAAGAAAGGTGCGAAGCACGCTTCTTGTGAAAATGGTGCACCATATTGATGGCCTCTAATTCTTAGAATGCTGTGAACAACAAAAGCCACAAAGTGGGTTGAATTACGGTCAAACGAAATCGTCGGACGCACTCTGTTGAAATCGCGAAGGTGTAGACAGGAGAGCACCACAGAGTCACACACATGCTTCACATTTCAAGCAGCTTCGAAACCTGCACTGCTTTCGCGACACTGTTCGCCTTCTTATCAGACAATGATGGTTCGTGCTTCTCTTTCTTCTCATGATTCCGATTCGTCCTGTTGGTCAAAAGTTTTCCTACTTAATTCATCGTGTCATCGGGTTTGAGGTTGTGCATCGGATCGTTTCATCGTCTTCATCATACACATAGTCTGAACCTTCAATTCTCTTGCACCTGCAGCTGCATCCTTAGTATGCAAGAACGTCCGTAGTTTTGTTACCTATTTTATTAGGATGAAAAGTCATCACTTTCAGGATATTTTTGAGGGCGGCATCATTCTCGGCCGAAAAATTTTAATGGTTTTGCCGAAAAAAAGCGACGCAGGCGCCGGCCATTTTGATTGGGGGCGCAAGGGCGTCGCTGTTGTTTGGGCAAAAACCGACGGCGCACCAGGCCCCTCGAGGCGCGCCCAGCCCGCTTTTATTTTGATGCCGGGCGATGTTTTTCGGTGCAGGTTCATCGGGGTTTCTGGTGCGCCAACCCAAGTGTGGCGTGGTCCCGACGCTGCGGTGCAGCGAGTGGGCCCACCGCCAAGGGACGGCGCGCGCCGGCTTCAGCCCGTGTTCTCAGCATCCGCAGGCGCGGCCTACTTCGGTTGAATCCCATAAAAAGACAGGGGCGACGCGACGAGGCCCCGGAAACCTCCTCCGGACGCGCCACCCACCGGCAAAAGCCCGCGGCCTTTCTCCTGGCCCCGCCCGTTTAATTTGGGCCCCCCCGGCATGCCCATGCAATCAAATGCCCCCCCGGCCTAATCGCACTCCTTCCGAGCCACCCAAGCGGCCCGGGCCCGGCTTGGTTGCCTGCCTTTGCTGCACCTCGCGCCCGGCCCCGGGATGTGTCTGTTCGGCATTCGCGGAGGGCCTTCTTCCGGCCCTGCATTCACCTGCGGGGGCCCGGCCGGAGCGCTAGCCTGCGCTCGATGGCTAGGTAGCGCCCCAAGCAAGCGGCCGTTGGCCCGCCTTCCTTTGGGGGGGCCTGCGCGAACGATATGCGCCGGCGCGCCGCCGCCGCCCCCGCTTCCTTGTCGAGCCGGCCCTAGGTCTGGGAAAGCTATCGCGCAGGCCCTGCGCGCTTCCAAGGAAAACCGCGGGCGCCACACTCGCGACGGGCCCGAACGGCGTTGCAGCTGCAATGCGCGCACGCCCGCCGGTGTTGTCTGCACTCGCATAACAAGCGGCAGACAGCTACACCTGGCGGCCCGCCCGGTTTGCCGGGCCCCCCCTTCTACAGTATGTCGAACACCTGCAAGGCGGGCCCCCGCCCGTCAAGCGGGCCGGCTCGGTGCGCGGGGCGGAAGCAAAAATCAGGGCTATTGATGCTTCGGCGCAGGGGGCCAGCCTTGGTGGGGTCGACCGTCCCGGGAAGCGGCCCAGTGCTTGGTGGGGCGCGCCGCAATGTTTTCGCCGGCCCGTCGAAAAAAAGAAATCTGCCAAGGCGCGCCGAAACGAGCCCCCGACGGATGGAACGCGGGGCGCAGGGCGAAGGGCTAGCTTTTGGCGCCCGCCTTGTTTTGCCGGTATGGATCTGGGCCAGGTTGCGGGCCCTTTGGGCCCGTGTTCTTCGGGTCCGCCCTCCACATTGGCCGGGACGCCCGCTGGGGCTTGGGGCACGCACGCACGTAGCGGGGCCCCCCCGGCGGAATCGCTCGCCCGGGCCGGAGGAAGAGAGAGATGGGCTGCGCGGTGGGAGCGGGAGCCGGTCGCGCAGCTCAAAGGCGCGTGAGCCCGTTGTGGGGCGGCCGGGGCGGATAATATTGCAGGCAACCTGCCCGAGCGGCCCCCGCGCTATTCCCCGCCAAGCCTTTCCTCTCGCAGGTAAAGGCAGCCGAGGCGAGCAGGATTCGGGAACTCGAATTGCCCGACGCGTCTTGCGTCGCGTGGTGGGCCCTTTTTTTCGTGCGCGCCCCCTAGCAGCCTTTCCGCCTGCCGCTGGCTTGGCCAGGCAGCGCGGCGGCGCAGGCTTGGCCCCCGTTCTTGGGCGAGCCGGCTAGAGGGGGGTCGGGATGGGGGCCCCCGGCAAGGGCCCGGCCATTGCCGGGCGGCCCCGTCCGCCAGCTAGCAGTCCGCACGGCTGCCCGGGCAAGATCCGTCCGGCAGGCGGCCGGGCGGGTGGCGCCCCGGGCCGGGCAGTGCGCCGGCCCCCGGGGCCCATGTGCTGCCTCTCATTTCCGAAGGCGCGCGGTGGGGCTTCGCACCGGGGGGCTTTGTTACATAGTTTTTGTGTTGCGCCTGGCCGACCCCGACCTCCGACCGAGCCTGCTGGCTATGCGGGCGCCCGCGAAAAGCCGCCGCAGTTCGCAAGGCTTCCAAAGTCGCACGACTATCGGCCGCGCCGGCCCGGCATGGGCCCGCCCCTTATTTTTTGCGCACTTTTGCGCGTGACTCCACCGCCGCGCCGGGCTACCAACCTAGGCGGGCCGTGTGTCAGCGCAGCTTTGGAATGTGCCGGGCCGCCCGATTTTTCCCCCCTTCCTTGTGCAATAGCTATGAGGGGTCGGCAGGCAGCACGGTTTGGCTTCGGCTGCGTAGCAGGCAGTGTGCGACGAAGGTGGGCGCCCCCTTGTATCTCCGCCGCCCGTCCGGGGTTCCATCCTCCGCAGGAGCCCGGAGTCCGCCGGACGCAGCCGGGCCATGTCATCGAGGCCGGGCGCCCCAAGCCCTCGCCCGCCCCCCATCCCGGATTGCAGAGCCGAAGCCCTTTCTGTTCGTTCCCGGCAGCTGGCCCGCCGGTGGTGTGCCGCCCCGCCCCATCCTCCTCTGCTTCCGCGCGCGCTGCCCCCCGCGCCCGAGTTTTTGTTTGTTGGCCGCAGTTTCATCGCTCTTCGCGCGAAGATTTTCGGCGTTTTGCCGGACTCTGGATTTGCTGTCTTCAGGATAAAATCCTGAAATGCTTGATAAGTGATCAAAAGTTTTTGATCACTTATCAAAAGTTCTTGATAACTGATCAAAAACTTTTGATCACTTATCAAGAACTTGTGATAAGTGATCGAAAACTTTTGATCACTTATCAAGCATTTCAGGATTTTATCCTGGGAGCCCGGATTTTCGCCCGACGGCCCAGAAGGATTTTGTCCTGAAAGGGCGCACGCCCGAACATGCGCCGGCCCTTCCCTAAGGGCTGACGCGCACCGCGCGCGCGCCACCGCAAGCGCCGCGGCGCCCGAAATCGCGACGCGCAAAAGGCAAGCCGCGCCCGGCCACAACAAGGGGCCCAACCGGTGCCAAGTGGGTCTGCGAGCCACCGGGCGGCCGCGCCGGGGGAGTTGGGAAGCGAGTCGCCTTGCGGCCGCGCCGCGGTCGCGCGGTTGTTTTGAACACCCCCGGGGCCTTTTTTGTTCTTGCTTCCTTGCGCTCCGCGGCGCCCCAATCCTGCGCGAAAGGGCGCCGCGGCGCCATCCTCGGTAGAGCTCGTGTCGGCACACAGGGGGGCAGAGGCCTGCGGGCGCGTTTGGGTGGGGCCCCTATCTCCAGGGCGTTGGGCCCTGACGTATTCCTGCACGGGCGCGCGCCGCCAAGGGCCCGCCCCACTCACTTACTCTGTTTTTGGCAGCGGACCAAGTGGCGGCGCCCCACTCGCAGGCAAGGCGCGTCGCCAAGCTGCGCCCGGAGGATGGCCACCCCTTGCCCCCTGCGACCAGCCCGCCCGCCCCGGCCGCCGCACGCACCAACAGGCCGCTGGCTTGCCCGCCGGATCGAAGCGCCCCGAGCAAAAGCGTCGGCCTCGGGGACGAGGGGGCGAGAGACCAGGCCGTTTGGGCCCATTCCATGTTGGCGCCCCCCCCCCCTTATCGAAACCCCCCGCCAAGGAAGGGCGCCAGTGTTCTACCCGGCCAGGATGGGGCCGGCGCCTTCGAGGCAAAGCGGGCGGGGCCCGGTCCCTTCGGGCCCTTTTTGGTACGCCCCAAGTGCCGGCGGGCGCGTCCGCCCGCAATGCCCCCGCCGGGCGGCCGCCCCCCGCACTTTCGATGGGACGGCACGCACTTGGCCGCGGGGAATTTCGAAAAGGCCCGGGGCCCGGGCGTATAGCGCGGGGCGGACGGGGGCCCGCCACCAGGCAGCCTGACCGCGCTCGCGATACATAGGCAAGGCTGGCAATGGATGGAGGATCTTGGGCGGCAGGGCTTGCCGCAGATCAGCGAAGCGGGCCGGCGGCTGTTTTATTTTGCAAATCTGGTCCCGGGCAAATAACAACCGAACGGGGCCGCGCCCGCGGCGCCTTTGCTGCATACTGCCCCGGCAACCGGGTCGGGCGCGGTCTTCCGGCTTTTGCTTGGGTTTTCCGGCTGCGCTGGCAGGGGCAGCCGGGGCGCGTTCTGACGGCCTGGCCTCATCTTGGTAGGCGCCCGCTTTTCCGGGGCGTTTTTTTCCAAGGGCGGGGCCTTCGCGCCGCCGGCTTCGGGCCCCCACTTTCGCTCGGGCCCAAGGCGCCTAGCGTTCGTCGCCTGCTGTATCTTCCGGCGCCCCGAGGGCTCGGCGGCCCCGGCCTGTAGTCCCCTGCTTGCGTGCTTCTTTCGCGGGGCCCCCTTGGACCGGCCTTGGGGATGATAGGTATGTGGCGGGGGGCTTGCTCCGCGGGAGGGTGCGCAACTGGCCGGCACCTTGGGCCCCGGCCGGGCGCCCGCTTGTCTGGAGCACCCTCGGGCCCTTTCGGGCTGCTGGTGCTTTGTTTTCTTTGCAGATATTCTGGCCCACATCTCGGCAGCATGCAGCGGTCGGAAGTAGGCCACTCGGCCGCGGCCATTTCCACTCGGCCGCGGCCATTTAGGCATGGCGGCGACTCGGCCCTCCAGCGAGCGACCCCTCCGAGCGGCCTGCGTGGCGCTACCGCCGGTTGCTCTGGTGCGTGTCGACGAGCGCGGTGCGCTTTATTCTGTTCGGGGCCGGTGTGTTTTGATAATGCGCTCCCCCTGCTTTTGCCCTTCGCGCCCTCGAACCATATGGCGGCCGCGCCACCGCCCTGCCCATTC